GGTATACGTCCGCCCGTGAAAATTCATTTTTATATATTTTGGAATAAGTTCATTTATTTTTTAATTAGTATAAATTAAAAAATAATCGAGTAGAATATTATTCATCCTCTTGTATTTTAAAAGCAGTCATTTCAACTTAACAGTCAACTCATGCATTTGACTACTAACATCTAACGATGTTAGTAGTATAAATAAATTTGTAATTTCTAAAATTCAATATGGTTCTTTTTAATCTAATCTATTCATTGCCTTTAGTACATGGCATGCTATTATTTTGGTATTATAAATATTAAAAATTAGAAATATAACACTGTTTGTATTGTATGTTGAATAAACAAATAAAAATAAAATAGTTGAGTTTTAATTAATACATATAAAAATAAATGAGGAATGGTCAACACTGATCACCGCCAGGGACCAGACAGTGGGATTTCCCAACACCCAACTATCAAACTTAAATCACTACTATTTTAATATGTCCACTACCAGTTGTCGGCAGCCAAATTTATATTCAAGCACGAGTTTATTTATTTCTCTCTATTTTACTTTTTTGAACTTTTTCGAACCTAATTTTTTAAGGAAAAATTAGCATTATTCTATCATTTGGCAAATTCATGTGAGTTGAGAAAAACTTTTTTTTTTTAATTTGAAAATTTCTCCTTAGCTAATTTTAATATAGAATCCCAGTATTACCCCTAATGAATTTTAACCCTAATCGCTTCTCATTTATTACAGATGACAGATTTTGGGTTTTGGGGGCTTTCTTTGGTGGTTTTGATGTAGGTGGTTCTGTTTGGATTGGTCGTGCAGACATGTGATGTATTGGGCTTGTAAATTTTACCACCGTCAGAATATGAAAGTGGGGATATGGTGATAGTGTGGCGTAGGGATGGTTTAGTGATGATGCGGAGCATATTTAGGATTTTTTGGGTAGATTGTGCCGAAATAGCCTAGGTATAAAAAGCCGGCCGAAGTTGCTAACAGGACTTTAGGCATAACTGAATTGGATTCATAACCAACTACGTTTTAGTAGTGGATTAAAGTTAATCAATTAACATTTTGAAGTTCTTATAAGGCCATAATATCTTTTTAAGCATATTAATATGTTAATATATGTCTACTTAAAAAGATATTAATATATGTTTTATTAATATATGGTGGTTCTTATAACTATTTTTTTATAAGGCCGACCAATTAACATATATTAATATATGTTTGCTTATTGCTTAACAATATAATTGTTCTCTCTCTACTATTGTGAAGTGAAGAAAAAAAAAAAAAAAAGATGTATTATTTGTCAGCTTTAGGAGTATTCAATAATGGAAACTAGTTGAACTACCAAATTAAAATAATGGTACAAACTACAAAGTGTAGGAATCCATGCATAAACCTCCAAAGTTCAAACAATAATTAATTAAGCTTAATTACTCGATTAATTAATTAATCGTGAATCAACCAACCTGTTTGAAATAATCGCGTCAATTATAGATTAATTAATCAAAATGTAGGCCGTTTGACCATCTTAATTTTGGCCGTTAAACGTAAATTAAGCACGGGCTTGCATGGAAAAAAGCATCACGTCTTTTTTCTCTTTTATAGAATGGAGAGAAGATCAAAAAGTCAATATGACGTTGGCATTTAGTTAATTGTTTTATATTAATCCCCACATTAGACTACCTATCTAGAAAAGTCTGAGTCCCAAACCCCTCAAAATATAATTACCATAAAATAATATAATAATCTCTCTCTCTCTTTTCTTTCTCTCTCCTCTTTCTCTCTCTTCACTATCTGTCATCACACACAATGCACACTCAATTACCGTGTTTTGACTTTCCAATTTTGAATCTCTTTCTCTCTCACACACCACACACACACATATATACATATATATATATATAAAGAAATAATCCCCAACATCTTCAAACCAAATCAACAACTACAATCCTCGCTCAACACCTTAATTAATTCACCTTCTTCTTCTTCTTCATCAAATAATTGATCTGTGTATCAATGGCTGAAATCGAGGTTCCCCATTACTTCATCTGCCCTATTTCTCTGGAGATAATGAAGGATCCTGTAACAGTATCCACCGGCATAACTTACGACAGGGAAAGCATCGAGAAATGGATATTCTCTCAGAATAATCAAACCTGCCCCGTCACCAAGCAGCTTCTCGTCTCCTCCGACGCCGCCGCCGCGGCGGCGGACCTCACCCCGAACATCACTGTCCGCCGCCTCATCCAATCATGGTGCACACTCCACGCCGTCGAGCGCCTCCCCACCCCCAAACCTCCGGCCACCAAACCTCAGATCCTGAAGCTCCTCCGCGACGCCGCCAAGTCGCCGCCGCAGGCGCAGATCAAGTGCTTGCAGAAGCTCCGGTCCATCGCCGCCCAGAACGAAACCAACAAGAGGTGCATGGAAACCGCCGGCGCCGCCGAGTTCCTGGCCGCGTTCGTCGTCGGAAAAAGTAACCTTCAGTCAGGACTGGAAGAAGATCTGAAAGCCTGCGACGAAGCGATGGCCGTTCTCCACGGCCTCCGGCTAACGGAATCCGGCCTGAAAACCCTCTCACTCAACGGCGAATTCGTCGGATCCCTAACTCCGTTAATGCAACGCGGCAGCGACGAATCACGCGCCTACTCAATCATGCTGCTGCAACAAATAGTGGAAGTGGCGGAACCATCTCACCTCATAAACCTACGCCCCGATTTCTTCGTCGAAACCACCCAGATCTTAAAGGACCAAATCTGCGAGAAGGCCTCAAAATCAGCGCTCAAAGTACTAATCAACGTCTGCGCGTGGGGGAGAAACAGAATCAAAGCGGTGGAAGCCGGATTAGTCGCCGTAATAATCGACCTACTACTCGATCTGCCGTCGTCGTCGTCGGAGAAAAAATCGGCGTGCGAGATGATGCTGACGGCGCTGGATCTGGTGTGCCAGTGCGCGGAGGGGAGGGCGGAGGTGGTGAACCACGCCGCCGGATTGGCCGTCGTGTCGAAGAAGATACTTAGGGTTTCGCCGCTCGCGAGCGAAAGGGGGGTGAGGATTCTGTACTCGATTAGCAGGTTTTCGGCCGGGGGTAATAATGGAATTTTACAGGAGATGCTGCAGATTGGTGTAGTGGCGAAGCTGTGCTTGATAATGCAGGTGGATTGTGGGGTGAGGACGAAGGAGAGAGCTAGAGAAATGCTGAAATTGCATTCCAGGGCCTGGAGGAATTCTCCATGCTTGCCTAGGAATTTGCTTTCTTCTTACCCATCTTGAAATGGAATTAATTCAAATAATTTTTTTTTTTCTTAGAATAATTAGGAAACGGGGCAAAAAAAAATGCCCAAATAGTTAACACACACCAAAAATTTAAATATACTGTTGTTGATACTTCCAGATTTTTCCAGGAATCTGAATTTTGAATACAAAAAAAATTGATACTCATATTAATTACAACTTGTTCTATTGTGTTGTTCGTTTAATTTTCTTTTATTTATTTATTTATTTTGGTTAATTAATTTAATTTTCCTTGTTTTGTTAATTGAAATTTGAAAACCCTTGACTGAAAAGTTATGTAAATAAAAATAAAAAATTATTATTATTCTTACACCATAATTTTGAGTGAGTAAATTAGGACTTTTATTTGGGCCCAAGACACGAGCTGGTCAGGCATAAACAGCCCAGAACCTACTAACTTGGACTGATATATAAATAAGATACATTTCTTGAAGAATTTCTCACTTAATTGTAGCCACTTTTATCGAATTACAAGAATTTCACTAAAAAAAAAAAAAAAAAAAAGAGGAATATAAAATTATTATTACAATTTACAACACACTACCTAAAATAATATTGAACTTTTCTCTCTACAAATAAAAAAACACTCGTAACATTCGCGATGGTCCCTAGGTGGAGTTTGTCATATATGATGAGCCTAGTATGGTTTACGTTTTATACATGGTTTGCAAACTACTATACGAGAGTGTACATTTACCTACTACACCTTGTATTAAGCTAACGGTCGTACTCTTATATATATTGATAAATTTATTTGGGAAAAATACTTCAAATATATCACATATATAAAAACCCTTATGAGTTATCACTCAATTGTTGACAATTGATATAAGTAATTGTGTATATATTTATTTATATATAATCACGAACACCTTCCATTTTTTGGCCTATATATTTTTAACATGTAAAGATAAATGTATACAATTATATAGTAGTATTATTAACACACACATGTATATATATATATATATATCAAGACCTGAAAAAAGCTTCAAGATTCAACCCATCACTAAACGGGCTCAAATTTCCACAACCTGGTTCCACCGCCTCCTGATCTCCGGTTGTTTCATGCATCGACGGCGGTAATACTACATCGGAATCCGGCCACAACATCCTTTCAGAAGCGGCGGAGGTGGCGGCGGCGGCGGCCAAATCTTCACCCGGCAATGGAGGCAATATCGAATTCAGACAACTGCCGCCATTAATAAAGAAACTATTATTTCCTTCTGCATCGGGCAATTTCTGAAACGACCCGTCAAAAAACATGGAGCTCCCACACCCTAACAATGGCGGCGGCGCGCTAGCACTACTCTCCGACATTAACCTAGTATGATCGGTAATAAAAGGCGACCCACATTCAAAAAACCCCTGTTGGTTCAAAGCCTGATGATCAAATCCGGAAAACTCCATTATTGAAGCTGGATTAATATTCAAAATCCCTTCAGGCGGTAATTGAGGAATAAGATGATCATTGATAACAATCTCAGGTGGCTGACGTGGCGGCGGCGGCGGCGTCTGCTGATTGTGGTGGTGGTGGTTGAGGAAATTCGCATAAACTGCAGCAAGATCAATACTGGTTGAATCACCATGAGGGGCGGCGCCGCCTGATAAAATTGAGTTGGTGGTGGATTGAATATTCCCAGCCGGATTGGTAACTGTCCTCTGTCCCCTCCGGCGGGTTTTGCGGCAACCGCCGCCGACGGGGACATTTCTGAGGGAACCGCCTTTGGTCCAGTACCTTCTGCAGCCTTTGCAGAAGAACCTGGGTTGAGTTAAGCTGTAATTGTTGTAGTAACAAAATTTTGTGTTCGAAGAACCACACCTCGGACACGCCGCCGCCGGCGGAGATGCATCGCCGCCGTCGTCTGATTTCCAATACTCCCTTTCCATCACGGAATATTCCTTTCCACTACTCATGGAACAAGAACCTGCACCAAAATCCTGATCTCTATGCAATCTTCTTCTTCTTCTTCTTCTGTGAACAATACTATAGTTTAGAGAGAGAAAGTAGAGAGAGAGAGAGAGAGAGAGAGAGAGAGAGAGTAAGATTTTGTTGAGTTAGAAAATAAATAAATGTAAATGGAGTTTACGTAACAGCTGCATGCGCACGTGTGGAATATTGGTTCCTGAGCCGTTAAGGACGATGGAGCTAACTGCCCCGGAGGCTAATACTCTGCTTGCTGTCGGTGTTTGGTACACGTGGCGTCATTTCATTGGCTTCAGCCAGAGTGATCTGGGGGCAAACCCCTCGGTAATCTCAATTATTATTAGTTTAGTTAGGCCTTATTTGGTTAGGGAGATTAATGTTGATTAACTAAATATGTAATTCGATTTTATTTGATAATTGGCAAATTCAATAATTTTTCTGATATACCATAAAAAAAATTATTTTATCATCGTCTCGTCTATCTTACCTTTTAAAAGGATTATTTAGTGGACATCTCGTGTCCAATAATACACAGTTATATTTTTGTTAGATTATTTAATTTTGTATTGACTAATTTTTTCTTTTATATTTTTTTTAGAAGTGTATTGACTAATTTTATCTTAGGAACTAAAAGAGGCCTTAGTATGCACTAATTAATAAACGTAACAGATTGTCAACAATGTCAAAAAATCTTGGGTTGGAACTTGGAATAGTTGACAATACTCGAATTAACACATACATAATTTCATAAATCAGTCATTATCAATAATTTAATCGAAAATTATATTTCAAACATATGGCAGTGAAAATTATATTATCACTTCTACTTTTTCATTCTATGTAAATTCCTTTCGGGCGGTTCAGACGGAGATCTTAGACTAAAATATGGCAGCTTAAATAGGGAGCTGGGCTTAACACTACATTCATTAATGAACGTCACAACAGTCTAAACTGTCTATTTCCAGTGTATTTTTAGTTTAAGTCGTCGATTTTCAGTCTATGTTGCCGAAGTACTCTAAACAAATTCTTTTGTATATTAAACGGAGTGAGCGTGTGCATATCACTGGTCTTTAGGAAATTAAGAGTCCAAATTAACTAGTAATTAATTAAATAACCAAGTAATTAGAAAGCTTAAGCTGTGTGGATTCGATGAGATATCACTAATTAATTGGTCTCGTTGTGTAATAATAAAATAGTATCATTAAACAAAAGGATTACTTCAAGAGGGTTGTCTTGGATCATGAGCATTCTTGGATCCTGGAAATCCTGTCTCCAACTCCCAATGCCTCCAACTATTTACTTTTTCATGCAATAAATAATTGGTCAAACAAATTTGGGACAAATTTTCACTTTCATATTTTTCTTTGGTAAAGTCAAACATTTATAAATTATGGTAAAGTCAAACATTTATAAATTAATACAATCGAGTCTACCAAACTTCTATTAATTTAACAAATTAAAATATCAAACCAATAATTTAGTGTTTTTACACTTGGTTGAAATCGAAAAAAATCGTTATTTAAGCGAAATTATTAATTTATCGAGATCCTATTGTACATAATTAACCATATTTTTCGCTAAACTTTCACATTTTGACTCGGATTATAGATTCAACTACTTGCTCTAAGAAATCATGGTGGAAGTATATTATTACTTTAAATAATAAAGTTTATTCAGAAGTAGAGAGATCTCGGTTTATATGCATTTTCATTTGAGCTCAAATTATTTTAGGCACATAAATATATTTATGAAGACAAGAATATTCCAAAAAAAATTACCTATTAGAAGATAAAATGAACAGTAATTAAAGTACAAATTACAGTCACCCACAAAAATATTAAGTCAAAATATTTCTATGTACAAAAGACAAACTATGGTGTTTCCACATTTCTCCAGTCAGCCACATTCTCTAACTAATTGGCTTAGTTGCAATCCTCCAGTACATCTTTTAGCTTCTGCTACTCGATTTCGATTACGATCTCGCCCTTCTCTGTAATGCAATTCGTCGTCTATGCAACTGACAAAATTCAAACTTTCTTCGAAAGAAACAAAAATATGTGACCGCGTTCTACATTTCACAACAGATGAGTTAACATCTAACCGAAGGATATACAGACTTCTTTGGGTTTCATTTAGTCCATTCACATCACCTAGAGTCAAAACTAACATGACATTAGGTCAATGTAAACTTTAACGAATAAAGAATATGAAATCGACGTACATGAAGTAACTTCTGAATCCAAACAATACCTTTGAGCACAGTATTTTGTTTGTGTTCAGTGAAACCCTCATACAGACGGTGCAATACCATTATAGTTGACCCAGTTGCTCCTACAAAATCACGAGGGGAAGAGTCAAAAGGGGAATCCAGTAACTGAAAATTTGGAACTCTCAAAGAATAGAAAAGAACTAATGTTAAATCTTGAACGATTTAAAATAGTAAACCTAGTTATTTCTGGCACATTAGTACCAACACATTTTTTATGTTAAATTTTCCATTTGCACACAAGCATGTATATCCTTATACACGATAAACCAGAGTAGTACTTGCACAGCTACTCTGCAAGTTCATATACACAGCCTTCTCATCATTAAGCAGACTATAATCAAGGAAGACTCTGATAACACAGATAATGTCAAAACAAAACACCAGTTTACTAAGCATAAAAAATTTAAACTTATTAAGCAAAAGTCAGCATATTCAGAGTAGGTAATTTCAGAGATTGACAAACCTGCAGCATCTGCATTAACTTTGGATGTCGCTCGAGAAGCTGGCAGAGTTTATCTCGGTCACTAAGAAGAGACTGCACAATTCAAGTAGATTCAGTGATCAAATCATAACTTCACAACCAACTAAACTTGTATGATTACATTAGCCTGGAAAGAGAAGTACCTGAATTGCTTCAGGGGATTTAAAGAACTCTTGTAGAGACATCGAGGAATCTTGTTGGGATGAACTGTCCCCTGGAAGATGCGAAATTCTTTGTGAACGATCAAGATGTTGCTGTTGCTGCTGCTGCAATGAATGTGATACATTCTCCTGTTGTTGAGTTTGATAATATACAGGGGAGACTTGGGGCTGCTGCAGAACCTGTGATTGTTGACCGGGAATCTGCTGGAACGATACACTCTGCTCTGGCTGCGGGGAAGATGGAACAGGTGGTCTAAGATGCTGAGGTGGCGGACGAGGGATTTGTGGTGGCTGTAGAGGCTGTAACTGAGTAAGTGTGGACATAGATTGCATTGATGGCAGAGACATGGGAAAATTTTGCTGGACGTGAGCCGAATTGTCTCCATGGTGTGGAACTAAATTATTTCCATAAAGATTGACAGGCATGGAGTTGGGCCTGAAAAGCAATGGTGGCATTAAATGTGTTGGAGGATAGGAATTCTGCATAGAGCGTGAAGCTGAAGGGTTCACGGCGTCAACAGAAGGTGCACCTGATGATTGGTGGAACTCAGAATTCCTAACATTTTGATAAAATTGTGGAGATTGAGAAGAGGAATTCTTCAATGACGAGTTTGCAGAATAAGGAGGTGGGGTAGGAGAAAACGGTGGAGGTGGTCTCGTAGATCCCGAAGGGGAAGAGATGGATGTCCTTCCAAATTTGAGATCTGGCTGTGAAAATGAAGGGGTAGTCATTGAAGAAGAACCGCTTGCCATGGCAGATAAATATTCCGACTGAACCTGTGGAACAAAGCGAAAGTAGTAAGCAAAATCCATTCATGTATGAACAATACAGAAAATTGTAGACAGCAAGTAGATATTTCCCTACATGAAAGCCTGGAGGAAACTGGGCCTGAACATCTGCTACAGACTTGGCAAATGAGGAATTTTGATTCACCACAGGATCCATACTTTGAGACAGCACAGGTGAAATTGTTGACGGAGGCGGCATTGGAGGGAGAGGAGGTTGATTTGAATGAAATTTCTGGTCATAGAAACCTTGTGAACCAGTGCCTAAAGGAGCAGGCCCACTTTGCTGTAGCGCTGATTTGTTATATAAGTTAGGCTGCGTCCTGGAATCAACAGGAAATCTTGCAGAAGAAGAGGAAGTATTCATATTCATATTCATATTCATATTCATATTCATGTAAACAGAAGTTGGAACTCCAGAACTACTGGCTATAGCAGAGGAATCGATCGCATTAGGATTTCTAACTGGCAAATTCTTCGACTCCTCTAACTGACCAGAGAACTTCCTCTCAGACGAAACACTTGGTTCTCGAGTCAACGGCATATCTGGACGAGATGCAGACATTCTTGATGAATATTCACTCGGTATATTTTCATCCATGTTCGATGCTAATGGAGTACCCAGGCGTGAAAACTGACTGCCTTCATTTGCATCACTGCCTGTCTCCTCAACTAAAGGATGAGGTGAATGTGGCTCAACTACAACTGACGCAGGTTGCTGCAGATTATCATCTGGTTGTGGAAAGGGCAGTTTATCGTCGTTTTCAGATTCCTCAGCATCAAAAACAATTTCGATTCCCTGAAGATCATCATCATCGAGGTCAGGCTTCAACTGCCTATGTTTGCTAGATTTGTCCGCATCTATGTTTTCATCTGGAGCTGTTGCTTTCGATTGTGTTGGGGAGTCATTGACTGCGGCTAACCCCACAATATTATGGCGCTGACCTTGTTGTCTGGCCATGAATACGTCCACGTGAACGGATGGTTGTCTCCCACTAGAAGATCCTATCCGTGGGAGCGGAATTACATTACTACCATCAGAATTTCTTTCCTTTAGAACAACATAGTCATCCACGTGCATAGAAGGTGGCCGACTAGTGTTTGGCTTACGCTGTCTAAAGGTGTCCCTACGTGTAGGGCCAGGCGGTGTAGTGACAGGTACTGACCCCCTAGAGAATGCACTTTGTGAGGTAGCTTCAGTGTCTCCTCTGGATTGCCGATTTGGTCCATCCAGTGAGGATATCTTTCTTTTCGTAGAAAGACCAGTCTGACGTAAATTCTCAGGGCACTCCCAGGAAAATGTAGCTCCAAACTCATCCAATTTATAATCTTCAATTCGTTCCGTACTTCTGTCTGCAAATCTATGTATCCTTGAAGAAACCGGAGTAAGTATTGAAGAGTAACCACTGACTATTTCAGCATCCACCTCCTCTGTACGGGATTTTTGCAACAAAAGCAGCAGCAAATTTGCAGTGCCCTTTATCTGAACATCGACAAAAAAAACTATGGAAACCTCTTCTGGGAAAATAAAAAAGTTGGAAGGATTAATAATACAAACCTGATTTGGTGTAGGGAGTGTGTCATATGCATCTTCGTTGCTCATCTCGTATCCTAACAAATTCGTGAGCTCGTCAATATGCTTCAGGTTTTCATCAACAAATTCATCAAAAGAATGTTCACCCTTCTCCCCAAAAAGGAACTTTATTGCAGCAACCCGCTCTGAGTTTAGTCTGCTGATAAAGGAATATCTAAGTTAATATTGTCAGAGACAATTGCAGAAAGATTGACAAAGGTTTTAACAGCTCTTTCTTAATTTCTTCTTTACAAGTTACCATTCAACAAAATGAAGCTAATGTAATAGATTAATTAATCATCAACTACTCAAGCAATCAAATAAGTAGCAACTCTTTTTATTTGTCTAATCAAAATAATCAAATGGCAAGTTTGTTTAATATTAATAAAATCATTCGATAAAAAAACAGTAGATTAATTATTGAGGTACTTTTTCATCGAAGAGCAATTGTTGAATCAAGTATGGGTTTACTGATTAACTGCTTAACACAGAAAACAAATAATTACTAATAATAAGTAGTTACAACAGAAAGTTATATATAAATCTACTTTTTTCGCATTCTGCAGAAACATGTACTCAATTTTTGAAACCTGAATTTCAAGAAACTCATCAATTGCATTTAGCACAGTTATGGTCTTGTAATAGCATATAAAATCAACCGAAAGCAGCATTACTTTCAAAGATTGAAATGCAGCATGCCAGCTAACATGAGTTCTATAGAATTTTTCCTACTTCGGTATAATAAACTGAAATTCAAGTTATCTTAGACACAGATTTTATTTAAGTAGCAAGAGACAAGAAAACAGAAAGGAAAAAACAACATGGGCTTACCTTCCATCATCCATGCAAAAGCCTACTGCACCAGAGGCTAATGTTTCAATCGCTGAAGCAACCTGTACTGTGGAAACATCCTTAGAATCAATTGACCCCAACAAAGAAGTCCAGCAGCATAACAATGGAGGATGCTCCTTCAATTCAGATGCAAGAACTCTGTCATAACTTGCACTGTTTTCATAATCCGTTTGAGAATCAGAAGCCTGAATGTTAGAAGACTTAATGCGATGTACTATAGAGAGCAAAGCAGTTTGGCCTTCAGTAGAGGAACCCATTTCTTTGAAGGCTGAGAGACAAGCAAGTAATTCTTTTCCAACGGGTAAGACCTGGTATTCGAGTGGGAAAGAAATGTAAGGAAAGAGCTAATGCCGAGTATTACTATATAAATTGGTAAGTCAAAAAAAACGTGCAAGGGAACATTGACATTGGAAAAGGAAAGTTTCAACTTCTAAGCTCCAGAGATGAGAAGTGCCCTTCACATCTGGGCATTGTAGCATAAATAGTGAAGAGAAATGGGCACCATCACACGATAAGAAGGAAAGTTAAAAAGAAATGCCAACAAACTTGAAACTAACAATTGCAATAACCAGCTCATAAACAATCTAGCACTCTTTGTGTTCTTTATAAAGTACCAAGTTATTATTTAACTTTTAATACAGATAAGGAAATTAAAGAAACATACCACGCAAAATCTAAGTAGATATGACCAAAATATTGAACATTCTTCAGCTGTAAAACTGTCAGGCGTGATCCTGGAAATCAGACAAAGTAAATATTCAAATAAGAATATCTATCCAAGCAAGTATGAAGAAACGGAAGCACCATAAACAAACTAAACATGTAATTCTCTGACCTGTCACGCCCTCCAGAATGCTGAAAAGATACTCGGCCATCACTAATCAATGAGATTGACTGAAATGCAGGTATAGACCAACTAAGAAGTGAAAAATCATATTTTGGTAGATTTGTATTGGCAGCTCCAATACACCTCTCAAGCACTTCAGCGAGCATCTGAAACCCCCCTTCTTTCAACAACAGTGGCTGTGAACAGGGTAAAGAGAAGAAAGTTAAACTCTGCATTCTCTTTTCTATGTGAGTGGGTGGGTGTCAAGTGAGGTGGAGTGAAGAAAGAATCAAGGAAAAAGGCAACAAGAATGATTAGAATATGAAGAATACCTTAGCATTTGGATGCTCCAATAAGATAGAAATAAATTTTAGTAATTGGTGGACCTGTAAAGAAACACAAGAGATTTGAGAGCTTGAGAAGAGAAACTACGTGCAAGGAAACAAAGAAAAAACAGAGTTTTAGCACAAATATTACTGAGAACCTTGAATGCGTCCACATCAGATAACATTGATGGCTCTAAAACGCGCTGAGAGATCCAAGATATTATAGGTTTCACCAACAATGCAGCATAATCAAGATTCAGACATGCAATCCGAATCACGAAGACACGTAGAACATCTTGACTGACAACCGACATCTGACATATGAAAAAACTACCATCACATAAAAAGGCAATGCAAAAACAAACAACCGCGTAAAAGAAACAAAAATGGGTGGGGTGAATGGAATCACCCACCATATAAGAAGTTAGTCGAATGCATTGAACTTGATTAAACAATGTACAATGTACAAGTAACTTACACTGACAGCACAATTTAGAATAATCTCTCCAAGTTTCACAAGTTGTGGAGACAGTTGAGCTAATAGCTTCTCAGGGTTCCCAGGCCTTAGATACCAATTGATCTGTTTCTCTTTTTGAAGTCCCAGTAATGTCCCCACTGCCTTCGCTCTTAGTGGGCTCAGTAATGGCAATCCATTCTTCCACATCCAAATACTTTCATCCGGAAACAAATCATTCTTGAAAGGCACAGAATGTTACAGTTCAGTCAAACTCATTCTATCATTACATGCATTATTGATTATACAAGTAAACGTTTTTTAATGTTGCTTCAGAAAGATTGATGTGATTGGGAAGTCCACTTACCAGCAAGCAAAATAAACTGCAGGTTTCCTTGGGACCCAGTGCCAATAATGAAGTTGTATGAAGACTGTCAAGGAGAAACCGGAAAAGACCAGGAGTCCAACTGTACATTGGCCAACAAGCTAGTGCTGATGCAAGAAGATGGCAAAGGGCTCCAAAACCAAGCGCAAAATCAGGGCAAGAATGGGACAAATCTGCGGCAAATGCAGCTAACTTGGGGCTGCAGGTAGAATATCGGTATTAACTTTATTGGAATATATGTTTTTTTCATATTCAATGGAAGGAGATGTAATTGTTCCTACCTCACTTCTTGGTGCAACTGTAGGAGTGCGTTCAATAGTTTCGTGTTCCTATGCTGCTCCTTTGCTTCCTGAATTAGCAAGAAATAGGCACTGATCAATTCATTACTATCAAAATAAATAGATATCAAGCAAAGCTGTGGTGGTTGGATGTGAGAGTAGTGAGTACTTGCTATTTTCTTTTAAGGTAGGCCTATGTTAATAACCTGATGGTCTCAAATCAGACATGTTAATATATGAAAATGTAACCATTCCAAGTCTAATATTGCATTGAAAAACATTCAATTTGGCAAACATCATTAAAGTATAGGCTTTCTTGACCGGTAAAGGCTTGGAAGAATACATAGCTGGGAATATTACTCTTTACTCTGTAGTCAAGGACAATTTGCCAGATAGATATGTATAAGATTCTCAAATATTTTAGGCCGATCATAAGACACGCAATAAAATCCCTTGCCACATGCTTAATGAATCCTTAACAGTAGTAATGAACCCTAGGACACGCTTATTGACAAACATGAACGGCAATTAAGATCCAATGGTTTTTTAATTAAGGTTGTCGGTGGGTCTGAACAGTAGAAAACCAGTAACATTTAGGTGCATGGATGAACATCAACACAAACCTGCAACTTTTGCAACAGATTGATCAGCAGGACTAATGAAGGAATGAGCAGATCAAACAGGCTCTTCTCGCGGTTACGTTCTAGAAGCAGATCAGAAGTCGAATTGCTCTCTGCACCCTCATCAACAAGATAATCTGCTTAACAGAAGTAATTACAATTCAGCTTCTTAAGAAGAGAATGTAATACATCTCGTACACATTGAAGTTCCTCAACACAAAACAAAGTAAAATGTAGCTAGACAGTATATCTGCTCTTTCAGCAAGACTTCAGCTGACTAAATTGAGAGTCATACTGAAGGAGTATTTGTTTGCTAAATTTATGAGCCATTGAATTAGGGAAGATGTTCAAGCTGATAAAACTATGGTCTCAATTAAATCCTTATATACAATCATTACATAGATGCAAAGTAGATAGACAATCCCACCATCAAGGACAACTTTCAAAGTAGCTCACAGGTGACAGCATTTAATGCAGAATGAACAAAACTGACCGTAAATATTGGACGACCTCTCAAGCATGAGTTTACAATTGATCATAACGGCATGAATAACCATTACAGCACCTTCATCATAGAGAGAAGCAGCAACAATCTGTAACAATTGTACAAGAAATATAAGCAAAACTTTTCTGTAACCAAAAAACGTGCATGTGATAAATCCAACAAGAAGTTCATACCGGATTATCAGAAATAAATGCCAAAATTCGAAATGCTGTCGTAAGCTGGGAAACCGACGAATCACGAAGAATAACACCGGGAAAATCCTTCTCAGTGATACGCTTTCCAATTAGATTATCAACAACATTACCGTCAGAACTATTGGTAGAATCTCCAACTACATTATCAACATCCATCATGTCAGATGCTAAAACACTGTTTGAGGCCATGTGAACATCTCCTCCAGAAGCCAAAACAGCAGCATATCGTAAGAGTCCAATTGCCCCATTTCTATGGTAAACTACACCAGCATCTATCCACTCCAAAAGCCGTGCAGGAGCATCTTTCTTGTTGGAACCAGGCGAAGAAGAATGTAATGCCGTATGCAGTTCCTTTGCAAGGTCTATCCAAGACGTCAGAGAAGTTGAAGTAGAATCAGTCACGATAACTTCAAAGATTTCAGCCGCCGAGTGGAAGATTGCAAGATTTAATGGTGATACGCCTGTAAAGTAAGAACTTTGTCAGTTGTAAGAATATAGAAACATGGTAAAACCTCCATCACTAAGGTCATTGAAGTACCAGTATTCAAGGAAGCAGGATCAAGTTCTCTTCCAGAGTGTAAAGCAGTCATCAAAACTTTGAGAGCCTACAGCAGTAAGAATATATGGTTCCATGCTAGTTAAAACAGAAACATACTGTAGATAAGATGATGCAAACATAAAAAAATAAAGAGAACCAGGAATTTATTCACTAGTGACTTGTGAGATGTTTCATAATCACCTCAAAAATAAAACTGAACAGCGAATATCATTTCAATGACAGCAGCAAATAGAAAATATTTATCACAAGAAATAGATGAAGCTCGTGACTGCTCAACAATATTTTTTACACGGACCAAGCATAGTGTCATTATAATAGTATTCCAAAATTGGACAATTAATAGCATATGGTGGGAAAAAAATAACTTATATACCTCTGGGAAATTCACCAAAACCAACAGGGCCTGACGTCCACACTCTGACCTAGAAAAGCCCAGTACAAATCATTAAGTATGATGATAATAATTAATATAGAATGATTCACTTCTAAGAAAAAGGAAAAAAACCATAAGCTACCTGGATAGGCGACAAAGATCCCACAGCGCCCACAGAAACTCTTCAGTATTTGGGACCAACTTGCACAGACTGTCTACGGAGATTAACTGGAAATATTCACAAGAAAATGCAAATAAATCCGGAAAGGAAGCTTAATGAGAAATGAGAAAGATGAAATGCTTACTAGTAAAATACTGGCGGAAAGACCAAAATCAGAAAATTATACATTATACATTATACAAAGAAAAGCATACAGTTATAGAGAAACAGAACTTACAGCCCTCATTTGCATCTTCATAACCATGCCAACTTCCTTGGGGCGACAGAAGAACCCTTTCGACATCAAGACATATGCATAGCGAAGTGAAAGCAAGTCTTCATTCCGAACATCCTCAATACCCCGCAAAGCATGGATAACAGTTGAGGAGACTTCAGGGTCATGTAGAAGGAAATCTAATCCTGAAGTAAAGTAGGAAAGATAAGTGACAATATCCTATAACTTGACATGATTATCTGATAAAGGGAGCGGTGGTAAAACCTGAGCGACAAAAAAGTAGTGAAAGAATTATTATTTGAATATGCGATACAATGTCCACGAACAAGTCCATTCCATGCCCTGTTTCAGACCGCAAAACAGAAGATGACAGCAATGCAGCTGACAAAGGAAGGAAACCCCTCTCCTGTTGAAAAAATGCAAACTTAACCATTCAGCATGAAAGCCAGGTTACACATAACAGAAGGAAGAGAAAAGGAAAAGGTTGGAGGTAATGACAATTAACATGCAAATAAACTCTAAAAGAAATTTCACATATAGATGTAGAAACCACTGATCACCAAGGAAAGGATAGTATATACAGCATACCTTCAAAAGGGAAAGTAAACATGAGTCAATTTCCCAGTTCATAAAGCCACAATTAGAAAGATTTATCAAGCCACTCGTTGTTCGATACGATAATAGTCCAGCATCACCAAGAATGAAAAATTTGCTCGCAGAAGCCATTGGAGAAGGATCATCAATTGGACCACTCAACTGTATCAACTTCTGCAAAAGTACTTGCAAACAAATGCATACTCAGCTAGTTTCAGATATGCAATATGCATACATAAAAGCATTAGATGCTTCATCAGTTAATCTGGTCCCCGAAATAAAATAAGCAGGCGGTGTAGTGGAAAAACTAACCAAGAGTTTCTTCAGTTGCACTTTAGCACTCACAAGCATGTCCAAAGTGAAATCTGTAACCCGACCAACAGCAGATATACCCCCTAGTACAGATAATACTGCGCACTGTAGATAAGAGATGATATGAAGTTTGATTAGCCAATCAAGAGCTAACGAGTCAGCTCAATAAAATTTCTTGCTCATAGTAGTTCACATACAAAAATCACTTCCTCAACCCACAAGAGAGAAAACACTAGGTACAACTTTACTTGAGGGTGTTATTTTTTTCTGGATGTCACCAAGATTGACTTCATTCTCATAGTATAAATACTCTAATGTTATAAGATTAGACAATCTGTCTTCAATTCACATCCACGCAAAAGCACAAGGAATAACTAATACGAGCAATCATATTTTATCACATGTTTAAAATTATTAAATCAGTGTAGGAAAACAGAATCATGTAATTACCATTATGCTGCATTCAAAAAGTTCACTTTCCACATACAAATGATTATATACATATCTGTCCATGTTTGTACGTGTGTTTATTCAAACACGAGCACATACACCTATCCTTCTAGACAATAGTTACAAAATGCCAAGTAGCAGAGACAGCAGTACCTCATATCGACAAGCAACTTCATAAAAACGCACTCGATGAAGTACATAAGTAGCAAGGGAGGCCACATCATGCCTCTGGTTCTCCAACAACAACTTCAATAACTGATTATACCCATCACTAGTGCCAGCTGGTATGCTTTCGTCTTCCCGAGGCCACCATCCAAGGAAACCTTCACAGCCAATTGAATACAAGGTAGCCTTCTCAATCACTCCAAGCAGCAATAATGTGAGAGTGGTTGAATTGTGCATCCGGTTAGTGAAAACATATCCCAGCTGCTTCATGCCACCATAATTTACAAACTGAAAGCAGCTCTCTCTAGCAGAGCACAACAAACGAGCTATGCTCAACCACAGAATTGTATTCTTGTTCTGAAACAACATTAGAAACTCAAGTCAGCATTTACATGCACATTACTTGATACAGTAATGAAAGAAAATAAGAGGAAACTGAAAAAATATCAGAGGTCAGATAAAAGTGTAAAAATATGCGAAAAGCTGGTACAATTTCACAGCGCAGACAGATTCCAGTTACCTGTGAAAGATATGGGTATCCCACATTCCCCGCACTGCTACAAAAATCGAAGTGTTGCAGTAAAGTTTCGGTCAACTCTTTGGAATTAGGGAGGCCTGCCTCGGATTCAAAAAACAAGCTTTCTGGAGAAGATGCAGTGGATGGATCCACAGACTGATTCTCCAGCCTTCCGTAAATGTCCAAAAGTTCTTTTCCAGCTTCCGTTAGAGTGTTATCATCTCCGGCACTTATCAATCTATCAACGCCCAGTTGCTTTAGATCAATAGCTTTATGAGATAAAAAAGACGTTTTGTATGTTGAAGTCACTGATAGTAGCAAGCTGATAATTTTATCAGCTTCTACGCCAAGGTTATGAGAGTCCAAAGTTTTAAAAGCTAGTAGCAGAAACTTTTTTAATTCAAGTGGAACATCCAATAGAACTGCTTGGGATAAAATTTTCAGGGGAGAAGCAAGTTCCTTAATTGTCAACATAGTGGGATGAAATGCAGGAGGCAAATCTTCTAGGTTTCCTTCAACAGCAGTAACAGTATCTGGCAAAGAGCTTTCAAAATCTACTTCTATGTTAAACTGGCCTAAATCTTCCGCTGTATTCCCATATACGACCATGCTTAGGCTGCGATAGCTGCCCCTTACAACCAAATGATTTGTAACCATGGCCTACAACAGTTGTCCATTAGTATACTCCAAGTAAAAAAGAATAAGAAAGGAAATGCCACTGAATTGAAGTTAACAGATAACAGCAACTTTCGACATCTACACTGCTAAATTGTGAGATTCTAGCCCATTTCAACAATTGATGCGGTACAATTTCATGAGACACGAACTCCAGTGGGTCAAATATCAAAAGAGAGAAAACGTGGAGCAGAAATTGCACCTTCAACAATCAAGCTGTCAGTGAGAAATAGCTCTTTTAAATGAAACTCAAAAGGGGCTGAAGGAGAATATTATGCAGAGATGCAGATGGACCTTCCAGGAATGAATCGGTATATACAATTTATATTATCTAATAGATCTATGACAAGTGAATAATAGGGAAGTCTAAGGACCAAAAGTTTTATAGAATAATATTCGAAATAAGGCACAAGGACCCACCTAACTATATTTCATAATCATAAAGAAGTACACACTAAACAAAGAAAACGAATGCAAAATTCATTCATGCAAAGGTACATATAATACCGCAAAAAGGGTATAAATAGCTGTGAATGTAACAGAGTATCGTATCAATTATAAGTTTATAACAAGGCACGGTTGAAATTATAGTACACACCTCAACCTCAAGCACATTAGATGATGAATGAGAATATAAACAAGGCAGGCATAGGCGCCTAAATCTCGTCTCTCCTTCACACTGAATGAAAACCTCCAGAGCAAATGATGGAGGTGAAGTGGCCCTTCACAAAGCAAAAACTGATGTAAGATTGCATACTACCAATTATGACGTGACAAAACTAATTAGAACATACACGGGAGATTTATAAGTAGCATATGTGCTTCATGACATAATACAGAAACTTCAATCTTAATTATAAGGTTACCCATTCACTCCAGAAGAAACTATAAACATAAATAAATCCACCATACCCCATAAGCTTCACCGCCGGACAAATCGATGAAGAGTTTTGCTCAAGGAACTCACAACCAGTGATGACTACAGGCTCTGAAAATAACACCTGGAATAAATTTGAGGAGCAGTTCAAATATTTATCCAAAACGCATATGATAGAGAGATGAGATAACAACTCTAAACTTCTCATAAAAAAAATGATCATACATCTGATGTAATTACTGTTAATTTTATACATTAAGATGCCATATTAAAAATGCAAGTCCTATAAACCCAAATATTTTATTTCCCAGAGAGAAGATTAGAAGTCAAATAGAACCTCATTAAAATAGAATTCATAATCGAAAAAAAAAAAAAAAAACTGAGTTAGTAATTTTAACGTTGAAATTTCTCAATTAATTACCAAGAGAAGGCAACAAGGATACAAACTATTTGACAATACACGACCTCACATGTCATGTCCAGAGATAGTGAGATCCAGAAGATGTGCTCCTAATAACAACTTCAGCAAAAACAAGTGAAATCAATATCTCCTAGAGTTGCAATTGTGTCCAAAGGCAAAGTCATAGTCCAAGTTGGACATTTAGACCACATGACAACTTATTTAGGGTATATCCTCAGGGTAAACAGTTAAACCTAAACCTACACATGTATATGTCTCAAAATACTGTTATCACTAGTTTTCGAGCAGCATGGATGAAGCAAGAGAACAATAGTAACACAAGCAAGTGCAAAAATGAAGGCCAAGTAAGTTGGCCATCTCAGCCTTCTTCATATCTTGGTGTGCCCTTCTTCGTATTCTAATGTTGATCCATGAGACTGGTTATAAGGTTGGTAGCTATGCAAACCATTAACAACAAAGAACAAAGGGAAAAAGCTTGACGTAAGTGTAGAGGAATAGCCCAAATACATTCACAAACCCTGTTGGGATCCAATCTTTAAAGGAAATATGGCAATTCCAATCAGAGTTCAGACAGATAACAATAGACTGTCCAATGTTAGATGCTTATATCAACTACCAAGATATGTATTAGTCAGTTTGTTTAAAATTCAATAGTTAAAAGTTAAATGAGCATGGAGCCAGTTCAAACTGAACATAACAAGCCATTGGAGAGGCTGCGAGAAAGATAATAAATATGACTAGGCGTGAAAGCAGTGAAGAGAAACAAAAATGGTATTTAGGAAACCTATACTCGTCAATCTAACAATTTTAAGCTAGGGGTAATAAGACTATAAACTCCTGCAGGAACAAAGTTAATAACCATTGCGTTCAGGTTATTACAAATCATTAATGATATTTGTCCCCGACGTGAATCCACCAGAGCTTTGACTGGCGATTAGTAAGAGTAGTCCGACGTGATTTATCCACCATACTCGTCCACTAACGCCAAAGAACCATATACATAGAGAAAAGTCTAATTTATATGAAGGGTACTATGTTATCATTATTTAAGCTCTAACAAACTCCTAATCGAAAAATTTATCACACAATTACTCCATGTGCATCATGAGTCCTTACTGCACATAACTGGAATAAAATAAAATAAAAAATTACATGCCTAACACTAACACTGGATAAAATTAAGTGGGCACACAGTAACTCACAAACGTGATGAAAATAATGCATTCTGCGGAACTCCTGTTAAAGAATCAAAACCTTGATAAAAAAAAAATAGAAACTTTATTTCCGAAAACAAAATCGGAGTTCCCATAGAAGTACATAAGTGGCAAAATTACATAAATAAGTTGGAGATTATACAAGAAAAACTTGACAAGAAGATTGATACAAATACCTCGTCCACGTATTCATCGAGATGGGGGTGTACGAACGTATGGGCGTAGAGCACGCATGGTTCGGGTCGACCCATCGTTTCTCTTGCCCTGCCCCAATTTGAGTTGAGTTGAGGGGGAGTTTTAGGGCTTTAGTTGCAGAAACCGGAGGAAGAAAGAAAAAGGTCGCCTTAATTCAAAATTATTGGGAGAAATTTAATTTAACCGTATTCAACTTTTATTACAAATTAAAAGTTAAAACTCCGGCCAAATACGGTTACTGAATAGACCGAATTACCCCTCTTCTCCTTGCACCGTGCTCGTGGGGGACTTTTGATGGGGGCAATTTAAATTAAATTAAGTTTCAATAAAATTATATTAAATTATATTTCAATTAAATTTGATTAGTCTGCAATTGATTAAGGTGGTGTTTGCAAATGATTATTTAATAGCAGAAGTTAGTGATTGTGATTTAAGTTAATTTTAAGTGTTTATTTCTAAAAGTTGGGGGTGTTTGCAAATATTTCGGAAAATGAACTAAAATTGAAAAAGCAGGGTTAGGGGTGCTTTTAAAAAAATAGCTTAAAGCAGATTATTTTAAGAGAAGCAAAAGCAAAAGTTGATTTTGCAAACACCTAAAAACAGATTATGAGCAAAAAAAACCGCATAATCACTTTCAAAAAACATTTGCAAACACCACCTAAATTTGATTGGATAAAATTAATCTGAATTAAGTTAAATTGGATTAGATAAAATTAATTTTGACGAACCCATTATTTCATAAGTGAAATATTTGTTACATTGCGTTATTCAGTGTTAAAAAATTACCTTAAAAAATATTAAAAATTCCTCAAAATATTTACTTTTTGTGTGCAACTCGACCCACCAATAAATACTAAATTTATATTTTTTACAAAAAAAATATATTTCTATATAAAATATTAAAACAATAAGTATAAATAAATAAATATATATATATATATATATATATATATATATATATATATATATATATGTATATATATATATATGGGTGGAGATCGGACGGATCGGATCGGATATGGGGTCTTCGGAAAAATTCCAATTTTTTTCGGAACTCAAATGTCACTTCCGATTCCGATTCCAAAATTTTTAGTGACGCAGCTCACTAGGATCAAGTAAGAGACGCGGCCCAAAATAGTAGGCACGGATAAGAAACCTCTCCTCGTCGTAATAGCCGAACGATGATGGATATAGTGAGAGACGGATGAAGTGTGCAACGGTCGGAACGATGACAAGTACATTTAATAAGTAAGCGTGTTTTCAAGCGTATACCGGACGTAAAAATACTCGTTCCACGTCTGAACCGGGCATCCCCCTCCCTTGGCCCACGCCCAAACTGGCGGAGCACGTTCCCAAACTGACACCCAAATGGACGTGCAAAATTCATTCACGCGCCTGATAATGACTTTTGCACGTCCATTTTCGTGCGTAGGTTCTGCGCAAATCCGAAAAATAACCTATTGAGATCGACTTTTAAGGTTTTTTAACGTGTAATTGACTAAATAAACATTGAATAATTGACATATAACTAAGTTAGAGTAAAAAATAACTTCAAATTTGAAATGATTTTATTATTTGAGATGAGCTAGGAGAATTTGTGGGGATTCTTGCAAGTTTTGGGGTTCTGGGTAGGGATGGCAACGGGTCGGTTCTGAGCCGGGTTTGCCTAAACCCAAGACCCGACCCATGAAAAATATATAAATCAAATACCCCCAACATGTTTTAGCTTAGACCCAGATCTGCCCCAACCCAAATCCTAACTAAACGGTTCTAACCCGCCAGACCCACTAGACACTGCATTAACACAAAAAGTTCAATATTTTTTTAACTTTCATAATATTTTGCTTGTATACTTTTACGAAATAATCTCAATACTAAAATACAATATTTTAAAAGATCTCTATAAGTGATATAACATGAACAATAAAATTACAATTAATTATATTTAACTTCGATAATAAGTAAATTCAAAATGCACCGAAGATTCCACTATTAGGCTTATTTGCATTCAATTTACAAATATAGAGTATACTAGTATTTTTTCCCCGGGATCAAATATTTTAAAAGTGAAAAAATATGCACGGGATCAAATATTTTAAAAGTGAAAAAAATAACGAATTTAATACATAATAAAAAAATATATAATACACTAACATAGTAAAATTTAAGAAAGTAGTCCTGTTCATATTTTATATAACATTTTTTTTTGACGTAGTAAGATTTATAATCCAAACAAATATGTTAAGCGGTGGTGGACAAGTTATATAAATATTACTCACGAGAAATCAGATTCGAAAAATTAAATAGAGAAAATAGGTAAATGAAAATAGACAAGATATAAATTGATAGTTTGATAAATTAAATCCGTAATTATATATATAAATAAAAAATATAAAATAAATAATGAACTAGGTTATATTTTTTTTTTTAATTTTTATATTATTATTATAATATTTTATATTATTATGAATTATCGAAGTAATATGGATTTGTTTCTAATCAAATACTATAAATATTTATTATTATATACTATTTAGTTAATAATAATAATAATAATAATAATAATAATAATAATAGTAATAGTAATAATAATATATATAAAATGAAAAAACAACTCGCGAGCTGTCGAATAACTAAAATTGGGCTTGAGCTCGAGCTCGTCCGAAGCTCGAACTCGAGAGCCTCGAGTTCGAAGCTTTGTCGAGCCAGCTCGTCGAGTTCGCGAGCTTACCACCGGTTTATACTATGCTACACCAGGTGAAATACATCGGGTAGATCTTTACCATTCATATACACACAAACACACACACACGCACATTGGTGTGTGTAAATCAACGATAAAAAATCATCCGGTGTAATCTTCACCGGTAGCGTAGAAATAACCCTTACCACCCTACACACATGACACATGTATGATTATCATTATTTTTTTCTCATTTGGGAAAAAAATATTAAATTAAAACAATAAAAACGATTTCCTCCGAAACTATTACAGTAATTTGGACCTCATTAATTTTTGACCATAAGGCCCATTTATATTTGGGCCTTGACCAGTAAGACGGCCAATTTGCAGAGTCTTCCCTGTGAAGATCTAAATTCTCGATATCGATAGCAAGCGAGTCAACTCAACCGAGCGGAACCTTGCGAATCTGTATCTCCATTCCTTTCATCTGAGAGAGGCGCTCTAATCAAACCGACCGGGGGTCGAATCCGATAAGGAATGGCGGATCCGGCAAACACGAAGCTCGGCAGGATGCTATTGGACGAGATCACGCCGGCGGTCATGGTCCTCCGTACGCCGCTCGTCGAGGAGTCCTGCCGGAAAAATGGACTATCCCTGATTGAAATGCTGACTCCGTACTGCAATTTCAACAATATTGACGGTACAGAGCCTGTAGAGATTACCGCACCATGTTTTTGGTGCTACTTAGGTGGTTGGGGGGTTTTCGTTTTTCCCTAATTCATTTCGTCTCTGTTGATTTTCAGTGCCTGTGAGGACAGCTGATCAGCCCTACAGATTGAGAAGATTTAAATTGAGATTGTTTTATGCTTCGGAAATTCGGCAGCCGAATATCGAGGTACATTTTCTGAGGTGTATTTCGGTTCTGCTTTGTGTTGGACGCTAGGTTGTAATTGTAACGAGAAACTAAACTGTAATACAGACATGTGAGTTTTATTTTATTATATGAGTGTGTAAATATCCGAACTCTCTTTGTGACTGTACATGCTATGGCGCATATCATTCATTGCAATGTAACAGTATGACATCTAGCTAGAGTGAGATGGGTAGACATTAATTCAAGTTGGAAATATTTTACAGAGGGCTCTGGTGAGAACCCCTACTTTTGTGGAATGATTTGAAAATGATGTATAAGTTTTCTGGTACCATGATTATGGAACTAAGCTAGTGAATATTGCTGAACAGCGTACTTATTAGCCGTGGAAATCACAGTTATGGTGACCAATTTTGGGAATACGAGGTTTCAATGCTGCTTCTCCGATGCTAATTCTGGAGAACTTTCACCTTTAATTGTATTGTATCTATCCTCTTTGATTTTGACAAAAAAATATTAGTAAGTACAAGGACATTTTTGCCAAGTCTCAATATTAAAATTTGGAACTTTCAAGGAGGCTCAAATGCACGTATGTCTTATTACACATTACATCATTGAGGGGGATATTAGGATAGCACTTTTGATGGTATGCAGTTTTAGGATTTACGGGATAACTCTTAATTTAGTTTTAGGATTCACAAGACAGCTCTTTTTCATGGTATGCAGCCTCAACATGTATATAGTCATATCAATGAACATTTTTCCTTTGAATGTCAGTTTTGTCCCTAAAAGACTTGTTGTAAAGAAAACAGGGTCCCTCACTTGTAGATAGTATACAGCTGCCCCTATTGCTTAAATTTGATGGAGTTACAGTAATGCCTGCTCACTTGTTTAAATAAATTTAACTAGAAAAAGGAGAGATTGAATTGGGGGTTAAATGTATTTGTAAATCATCACAAAGTAATCTGTAAATGCACGTAGACTTGGATTAATGATAAGTAGGAAGATATTTGGAAACAAAGTATTGGATTATGCTGTAGTACGAAAGATATTTGATTCAGGAACTACAACTCTTGCCAAAATGGGTTTAATCACATAATGTCAATTCTGAAGGTGAGGTTGTTTTGAATCCTAAAAATTCTTGCCAAAATGGGTTTATATATATAAAAATATATATATTTAAATTGTCCTTATAAAGTGCCCTACAACACAAGCACCCAGAGGGATTTGAAGGGCTTTGGCTATAAAGTGCTAACACTTGCATTGCTGAGAGTGTTTTTTCCTGTGTGAAATACATTTAGAGGTGAAGAGAGTTGTATCATTGGCAGTGTCATCATGTTTTCCCTGTGAGTGCATTTGATTCGTGGAAATGTACATTTCTTACTAAATTATCAAAACACCAACAAAAAAAGGGGTCAAACATTTCTAAAAGCATGTTTATATCATATTATATGGATAGCGAGGGACTCAGTTAGGTTGGATTGGTAGGGTTAGGTTTATATCTCTTTATGTTTGTTGAATTTCTTACTCAGCGTTCTTTGAAGCAATGAAACTGAATTGAAGGGGAACTTTCTCAGTCTAGCATTATATATCCTGGTTATCAAACTATCAAGTGGTATCTGTAAATTTTGCACGTGAACTTTTTGTATGAGGAACCATCTAATATTCTTGAATAGATAGTGATAGCTAATTGTTGTTATTTTTTGGGTGAGCCATCTTCTACCTACCAATTCTAGCATTTGAGTAGGTATGTAATAGGTATTTCTGTAAATTAAAAATTTAATAAACCTTCAGGTTGTAGCTGCTTCTGTTTGATTTGGAGGTATGTGGGCTACTAACACCATATTGTAGGCACCAAACATGATTTTTCTGGTTTTCATGTTAAATTACAAAAGAGATCGCTACTATCACTTGGTAGTCATTATGGGTTGGAGGTGTTGGTGACTTAAGATCATTCTGATGCTTGTTACCTTTCCTCTGAACCTTGTTACTGTGCATTCAGGCTGCAAAGGAGAGGTTAAAACAAGTTATCACGCATGCAGGAGACAGAGATATTTCTAAGCTGTCTTCAGATCCACCAGACATTCAATCTTTAATAGCGAGTAAGCTGTAAATCACTCTATCATTAATGCTTTACGTTGATATGCTTCTAAATGATGTTACCTTGTTTTACTTAGTTATATATGATGTTCAAATGTTATTTAAATCTTAGGTCCTGGAATGATAGAATTATTTGATCTTATGAAGTTAAGACCTTGCATTCTATATTCGAAATATCGGTTATGAATTTTGAATGAGGGACTATCATTGTCTTTGTGAAGCATCTGAGCAGGAATTTGTGCCATCTTGGTTTCAAGATTTTAACAAAGAGCTGGTAGATGCTGTCTCCTTTTCAGAACATGAAGCTTTTGATCACCCTGTGGCTTGTAAGTTTGTCACTTTGTATTTGTAGACAGATTAGTTGTTCACCGGTGGTAACCTATCCCATTTTTGTTTCGAATATGCTCTGTTAAAAAATGAGCTGGGAGGTCTTTAAATGATGCTTATCTTTCTGCTTTTTGCATCTACATAAATAGGTCTTGTTGCTGTGTCTTCAAAGGATAAAGATCCAATCGACAAATTTGTTGACCTATTCAATGCGAACCAGTTACCGTCTCTACTTAACGATGGTGCTATGGATCCAAAGATTCTGAAGTATTTCTTGTTGATACATGATAATCAAGATGGCCTGGTGGAAAAGTATATTGCTACCTGCTTCTCCTTGGGCTTATATTTTTGTCCCCCAGACTACTTAACATTTATTGATATTTTTACATAGATCAACATGCTGCATTGAATGTGATTTAGTCAAAGATGGTTAATCACTAACTAATGTTCTTAGATAAATGTATAGATGTGTCTATATGTAGGCATACTTTGCACTATAAATGTAAATGAGGATTTTTAAAGGGGTGAGGGTAGCTAGAAATGTTAAGACTTATCTTGCATCTTTGACTTTGTAGCTGGGTCAATTCTTTAGAACACTACTGCTGACGCTTTTTTTTTTCTTATAATGTTGGCTAACTATAAATTAGTATAGGACATACTTGCTCATTTGATGGGGTATTGGAGTATATCTGGAATGTACTTTCCCTCGTGTACTGACGCAAATTATGCACTGAAGACCAACGGAAGTAAATATGGATAAAAATGGATTAGGAGAACTAGGACATTTAACAAAGCAAACTTAATTTGGACTTGCTAAAATTCAGGCATTAGTTATCTGGAGTATATTCAATCATATTGATCATCTTTGTCCTATATTAACTTATTGTCGATTGGAAATGAAAATTTATTATCTTAACTGGTTTATTGCTCTTTAACTGTCACATGATATGATTATTGGTCATCTATTATCTTTCTGTTTGTCACTCAGATTCGTTTTTCTCAACAGTAGTTCATTGTTCTAGCTATATTCTATCGGCGCGTGAATGCTTTCATTTTTGTAGATATGTGAAGAAATGAGTTTTTTTTGTTTTCCATGTATCCATTTTACTTGCTTAATATACCATTACTTGAAAACTGATAGTGATAATGACTGGATAACTTTAGCTGTATGTATGATAAAAGACTGTTAAGATAGATATGTTACTCTATTAATCTAAGCCATTTTGCAATTCAAACGTGAATATTTATTCATGGAGAACTAGTTATGCTGGCAGTTAATGGTGTTCTGGTCAAGAACATACAAAGGGAGTTCTAAAAGAGATGGAGTTGTGACAAAAGAGAAAATAACAAAAGAACAAGGATGCTTTGGTCTTTGATGTTTCAGTGGTTTTAGCAGCTGACGAGTATCATCTGCTAATTATTATTTGTTCAATTTTTGCAGGGCTACTGGAATTCTGTCAGAGATGAGGAATGCATTTGGTGCAAATGATTGTCGTTTGTTGTGTATAAATTCTTCTGCAGATGGTGCAGAAGAACATCAAGAAAGTCCATGGGCATCTTACGTAAGGCTTATTCTGAGAATTGACATTTGTCCTTTCATCTTTTGAGCTTTGTGTTTACTTCTCTTTCTTCCAGAAAAATGGCACTTCAAGGAACAAGCAGTTCGGTTGTTTCCTTAATGTGGATGATATAGAAGAGGTATTCTTCAAGGCCATAACAAAAAGCTTTACATGAACCCTGTTCTATTTTTTTTCCTTTCTTTTTTAAATCTTTGACATGATATGGATCATCTTAAACTTCACAGTTAAGAAATACAATGCACGATCTTTCGTCCAAACATATCATTCCTCATATGGAGCTGAAGATTCGTGTACTTAATCAGCAGGTATATTTATCTCATAATGAGATGCTTTGCACTCTTAACTTGTTTGGTTGGATATCGTATTAGTGTTATCTTCCTTCTTGTTATGATTCAATCTGGTGTATATCGACCAGGTTTCAGCGACAAGGAAGGGTTTTAGAAACCAGATAAAAAACTTATGGTGGAGGAAGGGGAAAGAAGACACACCGGAGAATCCCGATGGGTCAACGTATGTTTGAGATTTTATTAATGTGTAATATTGCTGCATATTGTATAATTGTTTTCTTGATTTTCCCTTGCTCTATCTAACTTGGCTTGCTTAAGAACTGCTGAAGGTACACTTTTAGCTCCACAGAATCTCAGATACGAGTTTTGGGGGACTATGCTTTCATGTTACGAGATTATGAACTTGCATTGTCAAACTATCGACTTATTTCTACGGATTACAAGCTTGATAAAGCATGGAAATATTATGCTGGTGTTCAGGTTCATCCCGTCCCTCGTTTCTTTATCTCTTTCTTCAGTTAGTTGCTGTCTCCGCAACGACTACAAAGTTTTTTCTAGTTTGGTTTTGTTGCCTTGTATAATTAGCACAGTTTATTCCCTATCTCTTGCATGCATGGAGTATTGCTCGTCACATAACATGGCATGAAGAAGTTACATTTTTTAGATGTTTTAAAGATTGTACGAAGAGTTTCATCACTAAATACCATCTTCTCAATTGCACATGGGTGAATATAATAAATCTAAAGTAAATAAAGCCCTATCCCAAAGCCAATTGAACCCTTGACCTAATACTAGGCTCCCCACCCAAATACCACTAGGGCATTGCCTTCGCGGTTAGGAACTGATGGGTATTAGATAAGTTCTTGTATCGTACTTTAATTGACCTACTCGTTATTGAAATATAAATGGCTTACAACTGACCTCAATGGGAACTATACCCTTGACCTAATACCACCCTAAATACGAGGAACTGATAATAATTGGACTTCTTTATTGAAAAATTCATAGGTATCACATAAGTTCTTTTATCTTACTTTAATTGACCTACTCTTTGTTTGCCCTGTTCTGTATTTCAAATCTGGAATTATTTTTCTTAGTGGCATTCATTCTTTCCTTTTCTTCCAAATAACTTGTCGTTAAGTGATAAAGTTCAGACTTGCTCAATAGAGAGAGAAATTTAACTAGTTTGTTCCACAAAATTCCAGAAACATGCTTATTTTTGGCCATGGCTGCCAACATGAGATACTTATGTGCTGTACTTTTTTCGCTAACTTCTGAAAATGAGTAATTTTTTGTACTTGTAGTATCTTTTGACTAGGGTTTTGGCTGTTTTTGCAGGAGATGATGGGACTGGCTTATTTTATGCTGGATCAGTCGAGAAAAGATTCTGAGTACTGCATGGAAAATGCATTTACGACTTATTTGGTAATGATAAAGTTAACCCTCCCTCCCTCTAGCCGAGCCTGGAATTTATTTTTCACCAAAAGAAGAATAAGATATTTTCGAAGGGAATACTATTCTTATGCATATTCATGTATGTACATGTCTAGAAAGGATTTTGTTTGTTGTGACCATACGTTGCAGTAAGCCACATAATAAATAGTACATTTATTGATATTCAGAAATGGTGGTTATCACTATACTATATTACACGATAAAGTAAAATGAGGTAGAAAGGCAAAAAATTGAAATCGAGCACCAATCTTCATCAGAGTTGAAAGATCCATGTATGCTACAACGGAATATCAAAGCCCTCAACCATCTTCCTTTTCAGCACTTCCTTCATTTGATGTTGATAAGGAAAGCCCTTCTGAATTATAACACAAAAATACCAAGTGTAGTAGTTCTTAGTAATTCAGGCGTTAACTGCAGAGTAAATGGTGGGGAAGTGAACAGACGGATGGTGAAGTTGGAAATATTTGAATTTGAGACTGGTGTCGAATATGAGTATGTGATGCTGCGTCCAAGTGGCTTTAGCATAAGCAGTCTGTTTATTTTACCCAGGGAAAATATATATATTTTTTCTTTTGACCACTTAACTGTTTAAGTGTTAACTCTTCTTGCAACTAAGTCTTCTGAAACATTTATATCTTATTATCTGTGATGGAAAACTTAATCCAGAAGAATTTCGAACAGATAGATGTTTATTTTGTCTGACCAGCAATTAACTGTTGATTTTTGCATAATCCATTTAACTTCAGAAAATGGGGTCATCTGGCGGGTGGAATGCCACACGTTGTGGCATCTGGTGGGCTGAAATGTTGAAGGCTAGGGATCAGTTCAAAGACGCTGCAGGTGTCTATTGTCGTATCTCTGGTGAGGTAATGCCCAGAACTATGAAAATTGATCTGATAGGAAATCGTCTTACTATTATCTGAAACATATCATTCTTAGGAATCCCTGCATTCTGCGGTGATGCTTGAGCAAGCATCATACTGCTTCTTGTTTTCTACACCAACCATGTTGCGGAAGTATGGATTTCATATCGTTCTTTCTGGCGATCTCTACATGAAATACGATCAAGTAATGATTCTTAGCGAACTATCTAATCTAGTCTCATAATGCTGTGATCTAAGGAAGTTCCTGTCTTTCTTTTCTTTAGATAAAACATGCAATCAGAACGTACAGAAGTGCTCTTTCTGTCTTCAAAGGCACAACTTGGAACCATATCAGCGATCATGTCCATTTCCATATTGGAAAGTAAATTCTTTGGGAGACTCTTTAATCTTTTTCATAAGTTTTATAGCGTTGAATATTGAACTATATGTTACTAAGTTCAAGAATATTTCAGGTGGTATGCATTTCTTGGAATGTCTGATGAAGGTATTAAACATGTGTTAGAGGTCCTGGCCTGTGGTCATCAATCCAAGGCCACCCAAGAGTTGTTTCTGAGGGAGTTCTTCCGAATTATTGAGGTTGCTGGCTGATTTCTTGTGTTTGTCTTAAACTATACGCTTTTTTATGTTTGTTTTCTAGCTTTTCCTTTTCATGTAATCTGGATGTGGAAAAGCTATCAAAGTCTCAAATGCAAGTGTGCACGTTCAGTTACAAAATTTACTCTTTGCTCCTGCAACTAATGCTGACATTAATCTCCTAATTGAAGTTTTGCATTTTGTCCTTCCTACTCACCCTTGTGAACAGGATGAGTAGCTTTTTGGTTCCTCCCAGTTGTAATACTGACATCCATATTTGGTTTCTTAATTTGCTAATGCCTCCGGTGCTTTCATGTGGTTTCAGTATCGCGTAAAAACTGTATGGATTAAAAAGATATATCAATTTTTTTTTAATGTGCATGTTGTCTGGTTATCTTTTTTCTCGGTATGCTGTAGAGGCGTAGGCGTTACATATGTTTCAACTTCACATTAGATTTAATTTAGGTCAAATGTCACTAACTCCAACTTTGGTAATTGATGATGTAGGAAACAGGGAAAACATTTGAGGTTATGAGGCTTCAGTTACCTGTGATTAATTTTCCTCTAATGAAAGTTGTTTTCGAAGATCACCGTACTTATGCCTCTCCTACAGCTGTAAGTTTTTTCGCAATTCCAACTCTAATTGCCAATTGGTCATGCACTAATTTAATGTGAGAGGATACTAAATCTACAATCATATTATGAACTATAGCCATTTACATAATGGAAAAATTTCTGTTTGTTTCTGCTCCGAAACATGATGTTTATTTAAACTCCCAATTCCTATTTACTGTCTTTCAGGCCAGTGCTAAAGAAAGTTTGTGGCAATCTTTGGAGGAGGACATAATTCCATCACATTCGGTTATGAAGACTAACTGGCTGGAGTCGCAACCAAAAGTTTTACCAAAGAAGTACAAAGAATCAAATGTTTGTGTTGCTGGAGGTATGAAGGTGTTGTTACATTCTAGTTGGGAAGTTATTTGATGTATCAGCGATTTCCCGTGCCATTTCCCCTAACCATGGGGCCAATGTTGACATAATTATTGGGATTGGTTGACATCTCTAAGCTGGTTCTAATAAATCTTTTTTTCTGGCAAGTTGTAAGTTGACAAAATATGACAAAACATACATAACATCAGATTAAGTCCTGTCTATAATGAACATAACTATGAGTTACATTTACAAGAAATAGACTGTTCCAACTTTCCTAGCCACCATATTTTTTCAATTCCTCCAGGAGAAAATTAGAATAGCTTGGTTTAGGTGTGTACATGAGTTCCTGATGCCTTGTATGAATTTTAGAAACTTGTACACGTCTGAAATGAAGATAGCATCTGCATAATATTTTCCTTAAGGAAATGATGTTACCTGATGATTGAGGGCAAAGAGAATGGCACTGCTTTGGGGTTAAGGAGCAGGGTTGTAGAGGAAAAGAGGAAGCTCCTCCTCCCTACGGAATCATTACGAGAAAGGGGTCTTCCATTTTTTCCCCATTCACCAGTAGCCCTTATTTAGGAGGCTGTTATCCACCTTTTGAATTACGAGTGCTTTTATAAGATGTACTGAACATTTAGTTTTCTGCTCTGAACACAAAAACAGTTTTTATTGGTCAAAATTGATATTCAGTATGTTCTATTGCAACATGAGATAAACGAACTGAAATATCAGAGATTCCTATGTTATCAATATCCCTTTTGGTGCTTTCCGACACACGTGACTCTTTCATGATGTTGCAGAGGCAATCAAGGTGGATATTAGCTTAAAAAATCCTCTTCAGATTCCTATATCTATCTCAAATGTCTCCCTAATATGCAAGCATTCAGCAGAATATGATGATACCGAATCAGGTACATTCCTGTTTTTCAGTTTATATTTTAGTTGATCAATGTACTTTTAATAAACATGCAGTTGATATACCTTAACCATATTCTTTGATTTGCTTTTTTGAAATTAACTTTCAGTTTAAGTCCTTTTCTTGAAATAAAATGATACTGATAGAACCATAACTTGTTTTATGCAATTCAGATGCAAATGGGCATTTGATTGATTATCAGAATAACGAGGAATTGAGGACTGCTGTATCAGTTAGTGGGTATGTTCATGAAGCTTTATAGATATAGTTCATGTTATAGTGCTTTTCTGATTTGATGTTTCCTGCACCATGTACTTGATGATTGCTGATAGCATTTACTCGCTCAATGTAGGGATTTCAGCTTAGAGACATCTTTGTTTACTTTATCAGAAGTTGACATTTCAATGCGAGGTGGTGAAACTATTTTGGTGAGCTTTACATCCTTATTGTGGTTCCAATTTCCATTTCCACTGCAGTGCAAGAACCATATAGGGCGTATAGTACAATAAAGGTTAAAGGACTGCTTGTATTTGCATTTGGCACCCTTAACAAGCAGGCACACTGCGGAAACAGGCATTGTGTATACTGATTATAACTGCAAGAGATTTATAAAGCAATCTCAAAAACATCTTTTCTTCCTTTATCAAATATGAATGATTGAAAGATGTCTTTCGGTGAGGGAAGGAAGTCTTCCCATAAACTGGGAAGTAGGAGATGTCTTGGCCATTATTCTTTAGGGTGTAGTTTAGGTGTATATTTTTGCTAGTCTAATTTTTTTTTCAGTTTATCTAGGAACTCTGAACTCTCATTATCTTTCTTATACTGTTGGTGTGATGACGACTTGAGAAGGAGGAATATATTACAGAGCATATTTGTTTTATAAAACTAGTGGACTTCAAAAAACACTCCATTCATGATTTAATTTTTCCTTCTATAGATGAATGCCTTAAGAGTTAAGACTGATCGAAGTCAATTTTTAATAGATTGAATGTCTAGGGTTGCATTTTGTAATGGCCTGTCCCATTTGTTGCTTGACAACTTTCAGTGTTATTCATTTTAATGTTTTTAATTCTTGAGCTTACTCATGATTTATCAGTCTACTTTTATTTTACTCCTCACTTTAGCAAATGTAATATTAAAAAAAATTGTTGGGTAAGTTTTCTCCTTGGATTTGTCAACCGCACTAACATTTGGCTTCTACTTCCTGAAGTCTATTTATGTTGCATTAAGTCCACATACATAGTTCCTAGAAGAAGTGATAACAGGGAAACATAATTCAGTACTTCTATAATAATTAATAGGTTAGAACATTAACCTAACAAATAACAATATTTAGTACTTCTTTAATAATTCATAACAGAAAACATTCTTCTCAATTAACAATGCGTTCTCATTGTTTTTATGATGCACTTATTGTTTCTAGCATTCTGAAAGTTCTCCCTTTTTGCTTCCTTTCTCTTCAGGTTCAACTAACAGTCACTCCAAAAATAGAAGGCAGCCTAAAAATAGTTGGCGTTAGGTGGAAACTCTCAGGTTCAGTGGTTGGAGTTTGTAACTTCCAGTCAGATATTGTCAGAAAGAAAGTTGCTAAAGGGAAAAGGAAACCAAAACAGTCGGTGAAAGATAACCTGCAGTTCTTGGTGATAAAGGTACTTCTTGCTTTTCTTGAAATGATTTTTGTTTTGCTACTTCTGTAGTAGTATAGGTATGATCCTCTTAAACTGGATTTGATTGTCTATTGATAAAAAATATATGTTTCTGCCTACAACTTGCTCAATTTCCAGAGTCTACCCAGGCTCGAGGGCGTCATTCACGACTTACCTACGACAGTGTGTGCTGGAGATCTCCGCCGTCTTACCTTAGAGTTGAGAAATCCATCTAAAATATCTGTGAAGGTACTTTTCTCTCTTAATCCTGGTCCTCTGTTATATTCTTGTCAACAAGCCGCTGCATGTAGAACCATCAGAATACCGTTTTGCTTAAGAGAGATGGTTGGATTTGCTTAAGAGAAATGGTTGGGTAATCTTGTTTAGTTCAGAGTTGCATTAGGATTGATTTCCTTCACTTGGAAAGTTCTATCGGACCTAATAACTATCCATCTGGTCTAGTTGGTGGCTGTAAACACAACATGTTATTGTTGTGTCATCCTTTTGTTCTATGCTATCGTGTAATGATGTTTTCTTTTCGTACTATCTCATCAAACCGTACCAAACACTGATAAGTGGAACATGTGATGAAGCTGAATTATGTGATTTATTTATATCTTTTTCCCTGACAAAGGATAATTTTCATCTACTGTTTTTCGGTTGTCGTATGACAATTGGGAATGATGGTTGAGTGTTTAGAATTGGACTCAACTTATAAAACCTTCCTCCATGTAATTGCTATTAGTTATTTCACCACTTCAGTCATCTCTCTGACTTATTGGTGAAATTATGCAGAATGTAATAATCTTCAAAAGTTTTGTAAACTGATGTGAATGTCAAAAAGTATTTACAATGATTTGGTTTGGCGATGTGGATCATTCTATTTCTACAAGTTATTACCATGTGTTTGCTGTGTGGTATGACCAAATAAGCAACTTCAATTGAAATAGTGTCTAGTAGCAGATTCTCAGAAGTGAACTTTGTTATGAATTTTGTAGTTGAATAATGTTTTGAGGCCTTAAAACCAGTAGAATTCAAGAGTTTCTTAGAAAATGATTCTTTGCTCTTGGTACTTACCCAAATCATGCCTTAGTATCTTGTTGATTATAAGTTTACTCGTTGTTCCTTCTCATTCTATTGAAGGATCTGCATGTTCTGACATCAATGCATAATATTTTTCCTAGATGATATGGTTTCTGCTAATTATTTAAATTCCACCCTCCATCACTAACATGGAGAGGATAAGGTTGACATTTTTTTATATCCTGCTTTATGTTTTCCATATGATGATGCCGCAGAAAAATTAAATGCAAGGAATATCAGCTTGATTCATGTTATCACCCGTAATCTCTGTTTGCAGAATTTGAAGATGAGGATCAGTCATCCTAGATTTCTTAATGTTGCAGCTCAGGAAGTTATGAACTCGGAATTTCCTTCTTGCCTTGAAAAGCAGGCAAGTTCATCACAAAGTTGCAGCCAAGTGGACGATGGCAAAGCAGCAAATAGTGTATTTGTGTTCCCCGAGGTCAATATGCTTCACTTATGCTTTACACTGTATCTAGTCAGCAAATTTGACCCTAATTATTTGTTTCCTTTTCTGCCTACAGACTGTAGCAAGTTCTTGTGAAGCGCCACTTAGATGGCCCCTTTGGTTCAGGGCTGCTGCTTCCGGAAGCATTTCACTTTATATAACTATTTACTATGAAATGGAAGATGGTTCATCAGTCATAACATATCGAACTTTACGCATGCATTACAATCTGGAGGTAAGTAGAGTTATGTGATGTTAATTGTTGTTTGATTGTCAGTTCAACTACTTAACTGGTAAAAAAAAATGCCTGATCGTCTCAAACTGTATGTGTTTTTCATGCAACATTTTTTATCACTTTATGTTCACTTAAGTTGTTATTTATCTTAATATTTTGTCAATCCTCAAATCGACATTGCTGGAATAGGTGGTCTTCAATTAGTATCGCGGCATATATTTGAAGTGTTATGTCATGGTGGCAAATTGAAATTGTGCCTCTAAATGATACATGCATCCGAAAAATAATATTCGCCTAAAATTTCAATTTGTTTATCCCATTAAACTAGGTATTGCCATCTCTAGAAGTGTCATTTCAAACCAGCCGATCTCCTTCCAGATTGCAAGAGTTCCTTGTCCGGATGGATGTTATCAACAAGACCGCTTCCGAGAGTTTCCAGGTTCATCAATTATCATGTGTTGGAGACCAGTGGGAGCTTGCATTACTCCAACCAATAGATTCTGTCATGCCTTTGAAATTTCTGATGGCTGGTCAGGCTCTGTCATACTTTTTCAAGCTAAAGGTAATGCCTCCGCAAGATATTTTTATGGAGTTAATTATTATGTGCTTCACTACTATTCTTCACCATTTCTTCATCTACTCTTATTTGTCACACCTTTGCACCTTCAATTGAAGTAGTTTTCTTTGGTTTTTCTGATTAAATGACTTTGGGCTTCAGAATCACAGAACTCGAGGAAGTACTGAGGACAATATATCTTCTCTTGCCACGTCAGGAAGGGCAGATGTGAGTCTTCTAGATAGTGATTCCACTGGACTGTTTGATGCATCCATTCCTCCTCTCAATCTTTTTCACCATCAAGAAAGAGTACATCAAGAAAGGCACAAACAGGTTTGTTACATCTTGCTTTGTTCTATAACCTGAAACTGTTTACAGTTGATATTTATTGCTTGGTTTCTGTCATCTTTATTTTTTAAACCCCGAATTAACTTTTAAAGCTTGGAAATAAATAGATGATATGTAAATAAAAGTTGACTTGCCGTATCTGGAAGTATTTACTATTTCCACACCCAGTGGAGTGGCTTGATGGGACGGCTACGCATGGATGTTTTTTAACTTCTAATTTCCATGCTGGACAAAAGTGGACAACTGAAATAGTATGCCGTCAGTTTTTGTTTCTTTAAGATTAGGAGTTCAGGGTTAAGATTATGCTATGAGATTGTTTAGAGAAGAGAAAAGGATCATTCCAATTTGTGGATTTCGGATTTTGTCAACTTATGTAAATCATTTGACTTCTACTATATATCTAACTTGATATCAATAAGTTAATTTTATTTTTATCAGTACCTTTTATATCTTTCAAATGTATTAGGGCCATGGAAGCACCGTCGATTTCATCCTGATATCCAAGTCATGGAGTGACAGCAGTGCTGGGCTACCAAGAACCACAGAAGTTTTCTCTCACCATACCTGCCATTGCAGGCTAGTTTCCCTCATTAGCATAACTTCTTGCTGTAAACTAACAAGGTTTTGCATATTTACCTCTTTTAACATTGGTACTTGTTGATTATTTATTTGCTTATGTTTATCTTACAGAATTGCGAGTAACAGCCCAATCTGGTGGTTAATGGATGGCCCCCGGTCAGTTAGTCATGACTTTGCTGCAGCTGCTTTCTGTGAAATAAATCTGAGTATGACCATTTACAACAACTCAGAAGATGCTGTATCAGTCCGCATCAGCACCTTCGATTCCACACCTTCGGTCAACTTGGTCAACCCTGGCGCTTCAGGTTCAGGAGATGAAGTCGGCTGGCATCACACATCTAATCCGAGCGAGGCTAAAGTGACATCACCTGATGTTACAGGAACTCGAGTCGTCAAGGCCCTTCCGACTGAGAGTGTTTCGCCTTTCATTTGGTCAGGATCGAGTTCAACTCGAGTCAACCTCAAGCCATTGACTTCCATTGAAGTTCCACTCCAGATCTCCGTGTTTTCTCCAGGTACATTTGATTTGTCGAACTACTCGTTGCATTGGAATCTGGTACTGTCGTCTGGTAATGAAGGAGGTCGTGAGAATGACTCAAGAGTGTCGTCTGGCACGTGCAAGGGTCATTCTTATCATATCACAGTGCTGCAAAAAGAATGAGGTGAGATTTGAGTTATATATATATATATATATATATTTCCTCTCAACTCTGGAATTGGAAATTGTGTGTAGTAAATTTATACATCTTACAGCCTGTAAATCACAGTTGTTCAATGTATTATGTTTTTTGCAATAGAGAAAGAGGAGAAAATTCATTTGGTTTTGAACTGGAAAGGCTCTGATAGAAGTTATCTCTTCTTTCAAAATAACTAAAAGAGATTGTTTTGTTTAGGAAACCTCTATAAGTAACTGTAGATCTAAGCATTTCACCCTTTTGCTTACAACCAATTTGGTTTTTTGTCGAAGCAAGAATTTGTTGCTGTTATTGGATTTCGACACTTGTCATTTATTGGATTTCGACGTTCCTTCAAGTATTTCCTTTTTCTTTCAAATACTTCATGCCGTTATCTAGTTTCAGCTTTTGATTTTACAGTCCCGTTCATTTTTGGCGTCCTCATTCGGATTCCGAAAACATGGTAGATAATTTCATTTACTGTGAAAAAAACGTGTATAGAGATGTGATAACACGAGTCTAGGTGTTCTAATATTACGCCATATGCATGTACGATTAGGGAGAAGTTTCATTGTTATTGTTTTATTCATATCGATTTCTTCGTCGTGCCCGTTTCGCAACTATCCCACATGCTACTTAATTTTCGTATTTTTTAGGGGACCGAGATATTTATTATTGATCGAGTCTTTTATGACCAAGACCTGGACAAATGCATAGTCAATACTCAATAGATAGCTTGTGGACAAGTGCCATTTGAAAAGGGAATTGCTATTTGCGGTTTGAAAATTGCTATTTGCGGTTTATAACAAAAAACACTTTATTTCTCTAAAAAAAGTTGGGCGTGCAAGCTGCATTTGGGCGACCGAGTTGGGCGTGCAGTGCAAATTTTTTATTTTTTTTTTAAATGTTCGAACGCCCAAGGCGTGTACGAACCCTTGGGCGCACATCTTGGGCGTTCGAACATTTTTTTGCGAAAAAAAAAGCCCTACAAATCGATTTGTAGGGCCTTTTAACATGAAATTGGTTCCGTAATCGACCTACCCAATGCATATTACACATAAAAGAGTCGAAATTACATCAAAAAATCAAAGCCCAACCCTTCTTCAATCTTGATTTCGAATTTTCGAATTATTTTTTTTTTTTTGCTATTTGCAGTTTGGGGGTTTTTTTGATTTTTTTGGAAAGTTTTGGGGGGTTTTGTGAAAAACCGCAAATGGCAATTTTGTAACCGTAAATAGCATTTCATCATAAAAATCAGCCCAAAACAAGAGAAATTTATTTAGTATTCCATAGTCTAACTTCCATAATCAGTTGAACAAGCTTGCAAACTTCCTCGAGTGACCAAGTTCTTCAAGTCATCATGTTGCCTGATCAAACACCAACAATTTAAACATATATATACTAATTTTTATCAATAATTCATAGTAATCGATAGAGAAGAGGATTCTCACTTTTGTAATTTCTCCATCTTCTTACTTATCTTCTTCAAGTCATCATATTCCCTGATGAAATCACCAACAATTAAAACAAATACTAATTTTTATCAATAATTCATAGTACTCAAGAGAGAAGAGGATTCTCACTTTTGTAGATACTCCATCTTCTTATTTAACTTTTCAAATTCAGCTTCCACGTTAACTACGCCCTTAAGTTTGAGGAACACTGAAACAGATTCCGATTCATTCAACGTGTCTAGTATACATCCAACTGGAACATCATCCTTCTTGCTTAAAACCTTCACATATGTTTATTTTTTTCAAAATGTAAATGATCTATCCACACCGACAAACATAAATGTTTTTATTGGAAGAAAACCTATTACTTACATGCAGAGACGATAAAGTAGCAAGGGTGGAAACCTCGAGTTCGTGTTTCTTGATGGTGTTCCATGCATCACTTGTGAGGCACACAACAAAAGCTGCAAGTCTGGGGAAATAAATATCTTTGTTATTAATGTGATAAAGATCCAACTAACACCTTCCTTATTAATGGGATAACAGAAGAATTATGACGACATTTACCTTTCGCATTTCTCATTTGGTCCCAACTGTGCCCGGAGAGACCTCAGTGATTTCACCACAAACTGGATCAGATCCATCTCCAACTCCACACCATCAATATTCCAACTCTGAACACAGACAAAACATTAACGGTATTTTATGGATAATCATTATATCCCACAAAAACAAAATACCGATAAATCAACAAAATGAGTTAGTTATGTATAAAAAAAATAACATCATGGCAAACACAAGACAAGTGTTAAAAGTATTACCTCTACGGTTGATGGATATTCAGATATCACAATTGACTCTTTCCTCACAGAATCTTTCTTAGAAGGAAGACGCTGCCACAATTCTTCTGTGACGAACGGCATGAAAGGATGAAGTAACCGTAAACCATTATCCAAACACAGCCACAATGTATCTTGTGCGTGCTTCCTTTCAGATGCATATGCTGGATCATTACCGGTAAAATAAGGCTTAATTACTTCCATAAACACGTCACATAATTGAAACTGCCACCACGAGTATACAGCTGTTGCAGCATCTGAGAATTCATAGGAATCCAAAGACACTATTGTTTTCGATATGGCTTTATTCAGAACAGAGAGAATCCACTTGCAGCTGAATGGCAATGTAGCTGGAATCATCTCTTCTCGAGGGATGTAATCCTCTCCAAGTTTAGTCATGGAGAACCTTATCGCATCCCATAGCTTGTTGCACCATTGACGATATTCAACCACCTTCTGGATGTCCAACTTTATTTTATCTGACTGGAAAGGAATTTTTTTAGTAAGAACAAAATCAAGATCAAACTCCAAAACTAACAAGACGTCGAAAAGGAAACACCAAATAGGTCTTAACCTGAGCAGTGTATGAAACAAGGGCAAAACGCAGAGCATCTGCACCACATTCAGGAATACCATCCGGGAAGTCCTTCACATAATCCTCTTTCGCAATTTCCAATTCATTTTTATCCAAGCTAGACTCATCGTCTAGCTTTTTGTGGAGACCTTTCAATTCTATGCCATTAATTACTTCTAGAGGATCAATAGCATTTCCTAATAACTTGGACATTTCACGTCCACGAGCATCACAAACCATAGGATGCAAGTAAACCTGCATGCAATTAAGAGTGCGCCATTATTGGAAATTCGGTCTAAAACACGTATAACTAAAATCAAACTTGATTCATTAAAAACATGTTTTCAGCTATTTTTCGTAAAAAAACGGCCGGCAATGTGAACTTTACCCCGTTTCCAGAGTACCAATTTCAAAAGTCGATCAAAAAAATACCAAAGGGCAACATTGTTCTTCAATTGGTCAAAAGTCAAAAGATTTAGACCAACACTGTCTAAAACGCAACGATGCAGATAAGCATCAGAAGGGCATAAAGTAACAAAACATTCAAAGTTGAAGTACTATGTACATAAATGCTGCTCACCTTTCTAAATGGTACATCACCTCCAAGCTTCATTCCCAGCATCACCATACGAGCAACCCACAAAAAGAGGATATCAGGGCCAGTTTCAAGCACAGATGTCGAATAAAATGCTCTGAGATCTTTGGTATCATTTGGCCATCCTAAAACAGATAGTGGAAAAATACCAGAAGAAAACCATGTGTCCAAAACATCTGGATCTTTGTGAAGATCAAACTCCTTTCCGGAAAAGATTTTGTTAGCCTCCTCCGTAGCCTCAGCCTTATTCCGACCAACCACCCAGTGGTCATTGTATGCACCAAGTTCTTTAGGTTCATCTATCAACACTGCATACCATGCTGGAATACGATGCCCCCACCCAATTTGTCTTGAGATACACCAATCAGGGATGTTCTCAAACCATCTGCAACATACGGGATCTACTCATTAACATTACAACTAAAACCATATTAAAGAAAGAAAAAAAAAGCAAGCAGATCAAGATTAGAGAGAGAACAAGCAAAACATCATTCTTGCATGATAATATGTCAAGAAAACTAAAATATCTCATCATTTTCACAAAATACCTCTTCCATTCAGCAACATATTGTTTTGGGATGATCTCAATCTTTGGACTTGCACCATCTGTGACAGCATCAAGAGCTTGCTCTGCCATGCTTTTACAATTAACATACCACTGAGGCTTTAATAGGGGCTCAACCACATCACGGGTTCTTGAACAAATACCAAGACGCATCTCATTATTCTGATCACCTTTAAAGAGTCCCTTAAATGCCAAGATCAGAAACTATCAGCATCGTTGCAACGTAAAAAGAATATCAAAACGCAAATCTCAGTACGAAGTAAACAGGTAACCTTTTTCTTTAAGGCTTCAGTCACAGCAACACGAGCTTCAAAGCGAGGCATTCCTGTAAACTCTGGGCCACCATTGCTATTTATTTTGCCACCGTCAGTGAAAATGTTGATAATTTCCAGGTTGAGACGCTTTCCAACTTCATAATCGTTTGGGTCATGGGCTGGAGTTATCTGCTTAATATTTGATGTTATCATAACCGACTTCGGAAAACAGGGAATACGGTATCCTAAGCAAAAAAATGATGCTCACCTTAACAGCACCAGTCCCAAAATTCATATCCACAAGCACTGCATCACAAACTATAGGAAGCTTCCTTCCATTGAACGGATGAATAGCAAATTTCCCATGAACATGACTGTATCTAGAGTCATCTGGATGTACAGCAATTGCTGTATCACCCAACATTGTTTCGACTCGAGTAGTTGCCACAATAATCTCACCCAACCCTTCTTCCAAAGGATAAGCGAATGAAGTCAGCACCCCAAACTCTACGGGTTTCTCATATCCAGGAACCCGCAATGGCGTTCGCTCCTTGATTTCGATATGTTCCACCTAAGACACCAAAAAATATGCAAAAACCTTAGGACACACTTGCATTTACACATAAGAATGAGTCATAGGCATGATAGGCTATATCTTACCTCAATATTGGATATTGCAGTTTGCAAGAGACAGTCCCAGTTCACTAGACGTAATTGCCTGAAACAGAATTTTGCAACCAAAACTTTAATCGGGGATATCTGAGGGCCACAACATGTAATTAAGCTTACTGAAACCAGAAGTAGCAATAGCAACAAGAACTATAATACAAAATTGACTGCATAGTTAACAACATACCTATATATAACACCATCCTTGTGAAGTCTTACAAAAGCCTCAGTCACAGCCAATGATCTCTTCTCATCCATGGTATAGCACTATCAATTACAGGATTTAAGAGACAAATGAGTGTCACGTAATCTATAATCAAAATCGTCCATACACAGACTAGCACTAGTTATATCAAATTGATGATGCAGAAATAAACAAAATTATCACCTCGCGAGACCAATCCAGAGATGCACCCAAGCAACGAAGTTGTCTCAATATAGCATCCCGATACAAATTCTTCATATCCCCGAGCTATTAATTAATGACTTGTCAAAATCAAGACTTGATAAAGAAAGTTCACTTATATGTGTATTGAACTTAGTTAGATACTAAAACAACAATAATAAGAGAGAGGTTAAAATGGCTAAACTCACATCGTTTATAAATGAATAACGGCCCATTTCATCCCTCGTAATTGTCGTAAATCTCAGAAATTGCTTCTCTACATACGCCTGAACCAATTCACTACCAGTTAACATATCTTGCTAAAATGACAAGTTACAGCAATATTCAGATATGTGTACAGAAACATTAAAAAATGTAACCAATTATATAATGTGAGAGAGTGACATAAATGAAAAACCCTCAAACGTATCTAGCTAAAATGACAAGTTACATCGATAATCAGAATGTATAATACATATTAATAGTTGATTAATGCCAAGTCTCATCCACATTTGAATTGGAACTAAGATTTTCAAGTTCATGGTGTGAGTCTGTATCAAGGTGAACTTCAATCAAGCCATAACTCATAGCTTATTAAGAGTTAAACTGAAGCCCCATATCATAGTATGCTTTATATACTTCTGAAAAATCTTTTTTTTGTGCACAACAATGTATAAATTTCCATTGTACAAAGTAGCATACACTTGGACATGATCAAAGACAACAAACACCGACAATGAAGGGAGGACATTTCTAGGTTTCTATGCAAAAACTATCGATCCAGATGCATGCATCATAGGACAGGACACAATCAACCTCCCCGAAAGGAATAATATAAATGAATCTAAAGCATGGTACACAAGTAACTCATGGAAGTGGGCATAAACTCAGTGCATAACCTGGGCAGCAATTCCAGCATGGTCAGTACCAGGTACCCACAGTGTATTATATCCAGACATTCGCCTCCAACGAATAATTGTATCCTGATCAGGGAAATGAAAATTAAACATAAAAACAAATCAAATAAAGTTGTAGTTTTAGAGAGAGTTTCACAAAAGAAAATTCATTTTTCAATAGAATACCTGGATTGCAGCAGTAAGAGCATGGCCAATATGTAGCGGCCCGGTCACATTAGGCGGTGGCAGAACCTGCATACACAAAGAGATACGAAGACTTTTAAACAAACAAACAAACAATACACGAATCCAACTAAACCATACATGAACCGGCACTTCAACGAATCCAAGGACGTGCATGTTTTAAGAACTCACAATTACAAATGATGGTTTGGAGCTGTCTGGATCTGCCTCAAAGAACTTTGACTTTTCCCACCATTCATACCAACTACATAAAAGAAATTGAAGCCAAAGGTTTAAAGAATCACTAAGCAAATCACTCTCGTATTTGAAAAGCAAAATCTTTTGATCCAACATACGATGTCTCGACAGCACTGGGCTTGTAAGTTTTTGCCATTTGACGAGAAAGTTTTTTCTTATCGCCCGGAGTTGTTTCAGGATCATTGTAATCTTCTGGGTTTTCTACCTCAGCTTCTTTTTGTGTATTATTATTATTTTTCTTCAATGAATGAACAAACCTCATTAGTGCAATTAGATAACAACATAAATACAAGTGTACTACCACATTTTAACAGTAAACTGTCAATAAACTGTCAATGTTGTAATGGTAATCATAGAGCACACCTGAAGTTTGGCCGCTTCTGCTTCTGCTTCTGCTTCTGCTTCTGCTTTTAGTTTCATCTGTCTAGCCTAAAATGTACTCAGACGAAGAGAAAAGAAAATTGGATATTTCAAATAGAAGAAATATTATGGCATCTAAAAAAAATCACAGCCAGTCTGTATCTAACATGAAAGAATCAATCTATGATTGTTACAAAATAGTCGGTACTGAAATTAAACTGAAATATTTGCAAAACCAGTTCAAATTTAAACAAGATTTTCTCCATCAATGAGTTCTTTTGAGAAAAAAGAGAGAGGATAAGAAGAAATTGACGCCCATGCCTTTTTTTCCCTCCTCTTGCTCTTCTTTCTGAGCGCTTTCGCCGTCAGGTCTATCGGATCCATCGAGTCGCCGGCCTATCAAGAAGAATAAAGATACGATCAACTGAAATAAATAAGCAAATAATATTAAGTGAGATTGCAACAGAGAACAAAAATACGGCCGTAAACGGCACCGAAAAGCAACATTACTGTAATCGAGCGGGGCGGGGCGGGGCGGGGCGGCGGATATGAAAAGAGAAATAATAAGATAGAAAGATGGAGGTTTGGAGGTGGCGTGCATGGGAAAATCAGCCGTAGAGTTTTTTTTCTTTTTTTTTTTTTTTTTTTGAAGTACGGCAGTACGTTTCGGGGAGTATTGAATGGGGATGGTTACTTAATCGTGTGTTGATGGTGTGCTCTATCTTATATATAACAAATCCTAATTTTCGCTTACTTGATTATTAAAAAAATAAAAAATAAATAATTAATGGTAAATTACTTTAATACCCTCAATAAAAATTAAAAACAAAAAAATATTATAAATACTATTTTTCTTTCTTAAATACCAAATAATCAAAAACCCTCAAAAACCATTTTCCTCCTCACTCACAAACCCCTCACCTCCTCCACCTCCTTCTTCTCCCTTCCCCAAAAACACTCATAAAAAACCTCAAAACTAAAGAAATCAAAACATTACACAACTTGCAAAATGGCGTCAAACGACAATAGAATTATAGTTTACGAGCAAGGAGAACCCATTAAGGTATGTTTTCATGTATTTTTGAGCTAAAACATCGATTTTGATTCTTTTTTTTTTTTTTTTAAATTCGCCATCAACTTTCGACACATACAGGTCGAAAATGTGCTTATTTTTCGACATGTATGTGTCGAACAACATAACAATTGATATTTTACTAATTTTCGACAATTAAGTGTCGAAATTAGCAGTAACATTCGACAGGTACCCGTCGAATTTTGCTACTATTTTCGACACTTAAGTGTCGAATTTGTTCCCTATTTAGGGGACAAATTCGACACTTAGATGTCGATTTTTTCCCCGTTGCAAATTTATTTGTCTAATATTTTCTCCACTTTGTGTAGATCGATTGCACCCATTCATTTACCACGTCAGAAAAATTCCCAACAAAAGAAGCTTTATTGGCATGGGTTCGTGAAGTATGTAAAATAATTGGAATGGTGTTAATGATTGCGGGTTCGAGTGACGGGGATAGAGGACGTAGGACACCGTATGTGATTGTTCGTTGTGAACGTGGGGGCCTTTATGTTGGCAAGAAGGTACCCGGTGAAGATGATCAAAGACCGGGAAAAAGGAGCACCGGTTCAAAGAAATGCAATTGTCCGTTTAAATTGAAGGGGACAAAAGAACCCAAGGATGATGAAAAGGGTGAGTGGAAATTGAATGTTTATAGTGGTATTCACAACCACAATTTATTTGAAAACTTGCACGGACACTCTTATGCTGGAAGATTATCAAAGGAGCAGACGTCCTTTGTTCACAGTTTGAAGAAAGCAATGGTGAAACCAAGGGCAATTCTAAGATTATTGAAGGAAAATGACTCGTCTAATGTAAATGGTACGAAGACAGTTTACAATACTATCTCTAAGTTAAATTTCAGTGAATTATGTGGGAGATCTCAATTGCAATTATTGTTCGTCAAGTTAAGAAGATGAATACCTCTCGTACCATAGATCGAACGAGTTGAATGCGATTACCGACTTGTTGCGGATCCACCCGAAATGCATTAAGTTGGCACAGTCGTATCCGTACGTATTCGTCATCGATTGCACGTACAAGACCAATCGTTACGGACTCCCATTTCTTGAGATTGTGGGTTTTACTTGTACCAACATGACGTTCTCCATTGCCTTTGCATACTTGGATCACGAAAAGACGGAAAATTTCGAATGGGCGTTGCGTTGTTTGAAGGAGGCTATGACAACTTGTCCTCGACCTAATTGCATTGTAACAGATCGAGATTTGGCTTTAATGAAAGCATTGACCAATGTGTATCCATCGAGTCATCACTTGCTGTGTCGGTGGCATGTGAACAAGAATATATTGGCCAATTGTAAGAAATTGTTCACAAAGGACATCACCAAATGGAAGCAATTTCAGTCGGTTTTTTCGGCTCTTATTGAAATAAATACGATAGAGGAGTTCAATGAGGATTGGGAGTCAATCAAAAGAACATTTATCGGTTATCCACCGGCTATAGCATATGTATCTAATTCATGGTTGGATCCGTACAAGGAGAGACTTGTATCGGTGTGGACAAATAAGTGTACTCATTTTGGAACGTACACTTCTAGTAGGGTGGAGGGGGCACACGGACGAATGAAAAGGGATGCGCATAATTCAACTGGCACCTTTGTGGATTTGTATACGAAAGTCCACAACCAAATTGTCGAACAACACAATGACATCAAAGCTTCTTTTGAAGTAAGTAAAAATACTTACGAACACACTTTCAAAACGTTGACATACAATGAGCTTCGTGGAAGTATCTCAAAATTCGCGCTGCAACTACTCAAAGTTGAGGTGGACAATGCGAAACTATTGCAACCGAGCGATATGGGTTGTAGTTGCGCCATCCGAACAACTCACGGTCTACCATGTTGTCATGAACTTCATGAGTATGTTGTTGTGAACAAATGTCCTATCCCACTTGAGTTAATAGGCTCGTATTGGAAACACATGAGCATGGAGCCCGTCGCGACCACAGACGAAGTCATCCTACCAACAATCGACGAAGAACTATCGGAATACCAGAAGCTCTTTGAATGTGCCGATCTCGATGCAAAGACTCAATTGCGCAACCATTTGAGACATTTTACCCACCCAGAGAAGACTAACCTTACGGAGCCAAGTGAAAAAGTTGTTAGCAAATGTCGACCGGCAAAAAATAAGAAAGACAAATCAAACACTCGTGACGAATCACATTTTGAGTATGTGGAGCCAAAGAAAAAAAAATCGAAACAAGCTAGTTGTTCTCCAAAGGTAAATGTCGCTACTATCGTCTCATTTCATTGTAGTTGTTGTATTTTATAATTGTGCTAAGTAATTTTGTGTAATATACTGCAGCTTATACCTTTCAAACGACGTGTACTGAAGAGATTAAGAGTGCCCTCGAATGATTCTATTAACACTATACCAACTCAAGAGTCAGGAAAAAGCACTATACCGACGCAAGAGTCGTTCAAACTATTATTTGAAGATGCAGATGTGGGATTGCCACCAGGTTTGATCGGCAAGAATAAGTACATTGAGACGATCCATCCACGATCATGTTCGAGAAATCATCAATGTCGGTTCAGTTGCCTCTATGATGGGATTTGGAGAAGATGAATGGGGTCGAGTACGAGATGACATGCTACGGGAGTTGACTTCTAAAAAACATATTTTAAGTGTTTTTGGACAAAAAAAATAAAAATTTCAAATTATCAAAAAAAAAAAATTGAAACAGATTAAATTCGACAGCTAGCTGTCGAATTTTGAGACAAATTCGACAGCTAACTATCGAATTTAATTTGTTTCAATTTTTTAATTTTTTTGATAAATTCCAATTTTTAATTTTTTTTTGTGACATTAACCCCAAAACTATTGCAATGTAACATAAAAAACATATTCTAAGTGTTTTTGGAAAAAAAAAAAAAAATTCAAATTATCAAAACTAGTAATTGTACCCGTGCGATGCACGGGACAACAAATTGCATTGTTTTGATGTTGTAAGAATATAAACAAACGTTTGATGTATCGTATGATCAAAATTCTATTATACTGGAACATCATTAAGTATACTACACACAAAAAAAAAAGGAAATAACTTTACTATTGAATAATTTTCCAAATGAATTGAATCAGCTAATACCAGTAGATTGAAAATTTGAACCAGGAAAAAAATCATCAACTATGTCTTTCATGTTGAGCTTAAAAGTAATTAGATTTAATAACTTAGTTAACATAATCAAAACTAAACTATCGACAACATAAAAGGCCATCTATACATCTTGCATCGGAACTAAGCCCTTCTTCACTGCCTCATTTTCAGGCTGTTTTGCCACTGGAATTAACAATTGGAAAATTAAGAAACAAAAATAAATATAAACAATAAATTAAATATCGCATACAAACAATAAGTCTTGAAGGTCGACTTCCAATAGCTTGTGGCTCCGCCCATTTTTGGTTAATTCTCTCAAATCATCCATTTCAATAACATGTCCAATAACATATAAAATGAAATAATTGTTATACATAAATTTTGAAACTTTGGTATAAATTAATGAAACACATAATTTAACAAAATGAAATCACCGATAAGCAATGATGGAAAAAGATGTAAACTAATTGCCACACATTCAATAGGATGAAGAAGATAAAAAACAAAATCTAAAGTCGGGTTACCAAAAGAAGAAGCCTTAGGTAGGGAAGAAATAAAATTCAAATGTTGCAGACATTATGTAAAACGATGTCACAAAATTCGCTAGGGATGAAAATCAGATTTATTTACCCTTTTCTGTAAAAATCAAAAATCAGATTATTATAAATAATATCTAGGAGAATTTGATGAAAATCGATAATAATATTTAAAATAATATTTAGGAGATAATAATTTGATAAAAAACTCAAAAAATAATATTTAAAAGATAAAAATCTGATAAAAATCAAAAATAAAATTTAAAATAATAGTTAGAAGATAAAAATTTGATAAAA